GCATGACGGGTCATTCCTCAATCACTATATCAGTAACAGTGCTGAAACCAAAAGGATGCATTTTATAATGTCTCACTTTGAGGAGAAGTAACATATTTTTCTACAACACCTTTTTATTCAACATAGACATACACAAAGTTGAATTACACCAAACTAGCAAAGTTCCTGATTTCATTTGAATTTGCTGGATCTAAGTTTAAAACCGACTTTTAATACATATTTTCAATGCTGTGCAAACAAGTGAAAAGCATTCAATCATTAAGACGCCTTATGGTTTCTGCACATGGAGGATATTACGTCGTTTTCCTGGGTCTTGTTGTTGGTTGTCATTATTTTAAAAAGACTTAAAAAAGGAACTGCACACTTGGTTATTCTCCAAAGAGCCTATTTTAATTTGCAACCAATGACATTTCAGCATTGAGCTCATCTTAAGAGCGTCACTGGTGGTAATTAAATCCGGTTTATGTGGGCATTAGCTAGTGTGCATATTTTATTTTTTAAGACTTTCACATTGACTTCTTAATTTGTTTTGACATAGATACACTTTGATTTATTAGTGCTTATTTTTTGTATTATTTTTGTCTATTATCTGTATTAACACTTTTACGTCATTGTGTGAAAAAGTGTATTTGACCATGGGATAAAACAACTTACATTTACTCAAGTAATGAAGTACAATTTTGAGATACTAGTACTTTACTTGAGTATTTGATATAAGTACAAGACATGAGTATTCTTCCACCTCCGCCTTTGACCCTGGACCTTTTTCTAATTGTAATTAGGGAGGTTAACGAGGTAAATATCATCCAGCTGTCTCCCTCCCTGTATGTCTTCCCGGATAGGACAGTAGTTCAATCAGGAGAGACGTGATGTATGGAATACATATTTATTATCGGTCACATTATATAAATGAAACATAATGATGACAGTTTATAACAAGTGAATGAAATGGTGTTTTGGCGATTAGGCCCAGGTTTTGTAGGATATCAATCGGGAAGGGAAGAACCGTTTCCGATGAACCCCCCTGGGTCTAGATACTGGTGGTGGTGATAAGTGGTTAGGTCCGGTTGGAAGGGAGAAGGTTAAGCTTGGCCCTGAGTTGAAAGCAGGAGGCGAAGGGGTGGAGGAGGGTTGCACGTTGACACCTGGAAGACAGCTGATAGGAAAGGGGAGAGCATAGATTATAGAGGGATTAACAGGTGCGATAATTAGGCTTGTAAATGGAGGGGAGTGATAGGTTAGCTGAGGAGTGGCGCTCCCTGTCATTTAGTGCAGGGAGCGAGTATTGCCATGATGTGCAATACGGAGTGATAGGTCTTCCTGTCTGTACTTGCGCTAAACTTCATTTGTAGTATAATCCCACTTTACGAGGAATGAATAAACTCTGCTCCTCCTTCTGTGTGAAATCTTCCCACTCTCTCCTCTCTCTCTGACCTCCAGGTCGACGGCGTGGGGAGGAAGCCGGTGTTTCGAAACAAACTCCTCGAACAACCACAAAGATTCGTCCGCAGCCGGCGGCTCTGGATGACTCTCCGTTTTCACCACAGCGAGCTGAACACAGTCGGGTCAATTCTAACATTTCCTACCACTCCTTAAATGCATTATTGTTTATTTAACAGGATATGTTCGGTGATATTGTCCCCTTTCCATATCACATACTATTATATCTACAAACAAGTGCTGTGTGTTTGTGAAAGTCTGATACATCTTCATCCTCTGTGCCAGAAAGCTTCAGTGTTGTCCAAAAAAAACTGAGTAAAAATAACAAAAATAAATAGCCTTATGAATTTAAATTGATTTTCAACTTAATAGATTTATAATTATTTTTGGCTATTTTTTTATAATTATTATTTATGTTTTTTGTTACTATTTTTAAATGTACTTAATTAATTAGTTTTTTCTCCTTTCAGTGTTTCATTCACTTACAAATAAATACAAATCCTTGGATGAAAGGCATAAGACACGGCATATTTCCTTGCCTGGAAAGAAATACATGATGTGCTTTGAGCAAAGTACAAAATGGACAAACAAAGTAAAACAAATAAAAGCATACCGGTAACTAATTACCAAAATGTTGTCAGCTCTCGATTGTGACTCACAACATGATCGACACGCCAGGTAAACCGTTCCCACGGGAATACAAAAAAGTAAAAGTGTGATTCACATTTCAAGTGGATATAAGGAATGTGGAGTGGGTGTAACCTGTAGGCCAACTGATGGATGACATTTTCAAAGGCTTCTTAGTCAGTCATTACAGAAAACCCCTCCCTGATATGTTTAATATGATGGACTCATACACCTTATTCCAAGCCCTAAACCCCCAATCTTACACAAATACCACAGTTTTCTTGCACGTTTCTTATTATCTTAGTTCCAATTTAATACCAACCCTCGAGTTAAGGCAACATTCAAACATCTCGTTAATTGCTTTTCCTGCTATCTCACATGCTTTGAGAAAAGATTGAATGATGCCATCCAATCCAATCCAATCCATTTTATTTCTACAGCACATTTAAAAACAACAGAGTTGAACAGTGCTGTACATCAACAACTGTATACAAACACAGCATAAATACATGAACAGACAGGACATGAAACAAATGTAAAACACGAGGCAATGAAACCAGATCAGAAGCCGCAGACTGAAAAACTCTCACATGACGTAAAAACAATACAAAACACTAGTAAGATAAAAACCCAAATGTAAAAGCACTAGTGTCACCTGGTCTGTAAATGCCACGGAAAAGAAGTGGGTTTTTAAACGAGATTTAAAAACAGGCAGAGTTGGAGCAAGTCTAACCTGGAGGGGCAATTCGTTCCATACTTTTGGAGCTGCACCAGAAACGTCTCCTCGCTGCTTCAACCTTGATTTAGGGACGACCAGAAGGAAACCATTTATGTTGGGTCTTCACTAGACACAGCACTGCCTTCATCCGTTTGTGTCTTTATGAGACATTGAGTGATATTGTATGTTTGATATTCTTAAGGATACTTGGTTTATTAAATAACTTAATTTATTTGTAGCAGGTGAATTTACTAATACAAAGTTGAACGTGTGTTTGTGGGTTCATTAATGTTTTAGTTTGTTTCAAGAGGAAACATTTAGATTTGTATTCAGACTTCATTTCTTGCACATCAGTTCATTGTCAGCATTCAGAGACAAAACATGCAATTTATGTGATTTAGCTTCATGATATTTATGAATGTACTTAATGAATCATTATGCACCAATCTGCAGACATGGACACACGCTTTGGCATTAAAACATGGATCATTTTGCAAAGAGTATCCTCACAAAATGTCAGCTGGTCTGCAGAGAAAGACGCAGACAGGGATCGTCTCGACCTCAAACCTGGTCCAGAGCAGGTCCTCGTGATTTGCTATGGGATGTCGGGGGAGGCAGAAAGAGAGGATTGGGGGCGGGGCTGGTGTTTAGGGTGAGGGAGGAGGAGGGGGGGGGGAGTGTTTTGTCTCTCTTTCAGTGACAACAGTCCAATAATCTATTCATGGGCTCCTCCAGGGAAAAGAGCCCAGCTGCTCTAATTTGAGAATAAAGAGGAGGCTACCTTTGTTCTGTTGCTCAGGCTCCATTTCATGAAGAAACATCAACCACCTCAACCTCCTCCTATCCGCCCCTCTCCCTCCCTCCCCTCCCCTCCCCTTCCTCCCCTGCCTCCTTTCATTCCTCCACTCCCAACATTATATATTTCGCATAAAATGCATATCATCTTTTCTCATTATCTCACGTTTTCTAGTGTACAGTGTGCATTTCTGTCAATGAGGAACATCTTTTACATCCATTTTTCATCATACTTGTACCTTTATCCACATGTTTAGTCATCTCCTTGTTGTGCTGTCTTTGTGTATTTTCTAATAAATACAAAAAAGATTTAAATATGAAATAAGATATTTGAAAATGTACTATTCTGTGTGTGTTTTACTGTCGATTGCTTTTAAACATGATTTTAAACATAGACATGATCAGAAATACATTGAGATTTTTGCACAACTAAGAAAGTCCAAAATTAGGAAAATAAAATGTCAAAACACGTAGAAAACAAGGGATGTAGAAAAAACCAAGCTTGTAAAAGTGGATTAATTGAAATGAGGTTAAACCTAGATGATGATGAGGGTGATTGTGGTAGTGATGAAGGTGGCAGATGTAAATTGAGATCATCAGGTGGTTATTTTGACAGTAACTGCAGGAATCTGTAAATGACTTGTGACATCATAAGGGCTTTCATTTTGAAAGTTGTTTACTTTACACAGAGCATTGAAATTATAATTTTTTTTATGTTTAACGGTCCCAAAAAAGCAATAGTTTTATTTTGGGCACGTCAGATAATATGCTTTTGTGCACAGTTTATTATATTTAGTTGGTTTAGAATGTACGAAGAAGCCCCTAAAGTTTTAGTTTAATGTATATCCACCTGATATCCACCTACAAAATATCCACTTCATATATCATCAAAACAAAAATGCATCAAACAAACCCGCAACATTTTATTGTCCACACATTTAAGTCACAAAAAGACATCACATACTGTTACAAAAAAATCATTTTCTTCCAGCACTTTGAAGCTTATAATACAAATATAAAGTGCTAAACTTAAAGAAAATCCTTTGGTTTCAGTTCAAATCTAGCTGTTTTTGACCCTTCGGAGCCACCGTACAGGTAGCAGCACGACACCCAACATTACTGACGAAGTTACAGAAATGTGAGATGTAGGGTCCGTATTTGAAAAATAACTGAAACAGTCATCTTTACTTTCTTCTTCGGTTTCTAGAATTATCATTCGGACGATAAACCCCTCTCATGTCAGCTTTGGTTTTTTTTGGACTCCATGTGTGAAGGCACTTCTGCACCTCCATGTGAACTGACTGTAAACAAACCTCTGCTCATTAATATGCACCAGGGGGTGTGGTCTATAATACGCCCCGCACCCTTCTGGTGGATATTACCCAGCCTTCCTCGGAACGGATCAAAGTGCTATCCGCGCTTCAGCTGCAGACAAGTCGGTTTCCTACTGCGTTTAGTGGTAATACAAAAACATAAAAAACAGGACAATAGCAGACAAAAGGTTCTCTTACAGGAAGGACGAGGGACGCATATTTTCTGTCTGGAATTTGTGGAGGTTTTTTCTGGGAAGTAAAGCTGTGCATGTCCCATCCGGAGGGGAATACACCCGGAGTGGAGGGACGCACCGACTCTCACTGAGCACCGACAGCCGAAAAGCAGCACCCCACCACCGGCATGACTGTGACGCGGAGCTCGGTCCTCTTCCTGCAGACCCTGCTGCTCTCTGCCCGCATACAGGTACCCCAGACTCGAGTCATATGTAAACAGCAACTGGCTAGGTTTTGAGCAATGCAACCAAACACATCTTCATGTTCTGGATGAAATGATGTTGATTTATCTTCCTGACATCCTCATAAATCAGCACTTTCCACCAAGTTCGAGAAAGTCGTGTCAAGTAGAAATGTGCTGGACTCTTTACATTTCAAACGTATTTTGCATTATCAAATGTATTGATATTAAGATGACACGTGCCTGGAGAAACTAACATTTAAGACACAAAGAGCTGCATTTAGTTACTAAATATCCTAAATGCTCTTAAGTCGGCTCTTATATGAATATCATGATAAATCCTCACTTTATTTGGATTTCAAAGTATGTGCAATTTGTGGTGTAGCTCTCAGAAAACAGTCAATCCTTTAATATAAAAATGAATTAACAAAATAAATTCTTAAAATTCACATTAAATTGTCCTGTGCTCGAAAAAAGTGACTTTAAGGGGTAAAAAAACCCACACCATTTCTTCAGTCTTCTCTGATATCAGTGATTCAGGAGTTTAGGCTGTAATTACAGCATTTAAAGGACCAATAATTCACATTTACGGTTGTGTGCATCGATAAATCATTTTGTATGGGACTCTAGCTCCACAAGGATATAAATTCCATTTGTTTTTGGTCAGCTTGGGATCACATGGACTCTCTTTTTGGGCTCATGCATTGCACTGGCCACAAACTGTTGTTAAAATCAATCATTGGACTAACATTGACTTTGTTTTTCTTAATCATACTTCTTCTCCTTTATGGTAATCCGTTTTCAATGTGGGCTGCTGTGGGTGAAAGAGATCCTGCAGGGAACACTGAAGTCGTAAAGTAAAAGTATCGAGAGCAGTGTTTCCTGCAGCAGTTGAACTCTGTGACACCACAACTCATTCAGCGACTTTATGTGCTCTCACTTTTCACCTGTTTTTATAAAGTTTGGTTTCCTTCTCATTGGTTATTTTTACACTTTAAAAACTTCCAGTAGCCTACAGAACATGTAGCTGTCGTTTAGAGCTTGTTACGAAAAAACATCCAGTTGGAATTATTTCCATCTTTTTCTGCAAGGCCGCCTCTAAAACAACAACAATATACAAATGGAGTTTGGAGTCAGAAATGAATGCTTTCCCTTCATGTTTGATCGTTGCCGATTTACTTACTGTCGATCAACACATGGATTAGTTAGTGGATAGTTTTGTCTCCATGCCTGCTTTCTTCTACAGCTTCACGTTTTCCTCGATATCCTCGTGGATTCATCTTCCTATTATACACACATACATTTCCAAACATTTGGACTACCTAGGTTGCAAATGTATTATCTTTTCGATTTACACACGGCATCTATTGCACGTCTGTCCGTCCTGGGAGAGGGATCCCTCCTCTGTTGCTCTCCCTGAGGTTTCTCCCATTTCCCCCTTTAAACTGTGGGTTTTCTCCGGAAGTTTTTCCTTGTACGATGTGAGGGTCTAAGGACGGAGGGTGTCGTGTTGTCATACTGATATTCTGTACAAACTGTGAAGTCCACTGAGACAAATGTAACATTTGTGATATTGGGCTATATAAATAAACATTGATTGATTGATTTTGGCTTATCGTTCTAGGGGAAAACCCAGCGTTTAATATTTCACGGTGTATTTTGGGGTAATTGTTGTATAAGACATAATTTTGCTTAAATGAAGAGCTGCAACCATTTTAAGAATATGAGATTGTCATGCATTTCTTGTAACTTTTAGGGCCAATCAACAATGTTGTACACATGTTAACCTATCATGCAGAGTAGTACTCAGCAGCCTGTAATGATTTTCCCCCAATCAGTTTGGATCTGTTTCAGGGGGATTTGAGGAGAAAATCTGAGTTTGAAAAGGACTTCTTAGGAGTTCCCATCATACAGTTTTGCTACTCGCCTTCATCCATGGTAGTTAAAGTTGGTTAAGTGGATGGATGCCCCGTTCTGACTTGTTTTTTTGAATACCAGTCTGATAGTGGCGTTAGGTTACCTGTATGACTCACTGTGTGCAGGCTTGACTCTCCCATGGCTCTCCTAGCTTTGTATAACAATAAATTACAACTTAATCAACATAATATATATGTATGTAAATAGTTTCCAATATCAAGTTGGCCCTTTCTCACCGAAACCCTATCTAGCTATTTGAGTAAAAAAAAATCATCTGATATCCAATATCTGCATCAAGATATCGCTGCATCTCTTTGCAAGATAAGAGTGAAGTTGAACACATGGGCAGAGTAGATGTCTTCACTGGGCCAACGCTTTAGACTGAATCAGGAACCTTTCTAAACCCGATGTGGATAAATATATTTTCTTAACAAAGACACCAGATCCAAAAGGGACCCAAGGACAGTCAGATCCAGTTCAAGTGAAGATTTGAATTAGTTGGTTTAGACATTACCGCAAATCTAATCAAGAGACGAACACAAGATTCTGGGTGTTTAACACATAGACCTGAGATCAGCAGAATCTATAGAACTGGACCTTTCTTTAGTTCCATGTCGATCTTGACGATGGTTCATGGTTTCTTAGAACTAATTGGACCAATGAGGACTTTTAAAGACTTGTTGCCTTCATTCTTTCCTCCCTCTGAACTCACCTGTCCGTTTCTCTGCAGGTTTCTTCAGCTTCGGGACACTTTGAGCTCCAGATTTTGTCGATGCAGAACGTTAACGGTCAGCTGCAGACCGGCGCCTGCTGCGACGGACCCCGGGACGTGACGGATCGACGATGCTCGGCGGACGAATGTGACACCTACTTCCGGGTGTGTCTGAAGGAGTACCAGCTGAAGATCTCCTCGGCCGGGCCCTGCAGCTTCGGCACCGCCTCCACCCCCGTGCTCGGTGGAAATAACTTTTCTTTACGCAACGCCAAGAGCAACGCCAGAGCCAGGATCGTGCTGCCGTTCAGCTTCGCTTGGCCGGTGAGTTAAAAGATTGTCTTTTTGCTTGGATGTTTCATTTTTTGTGTCTGAGAAAGTTTGGTTGTGGACATGTTTTGTTGCTTCGTCAGCCAGATGTTCAGTTGTTGGACTAAAGACTTGGATCAGAACTGAATCAACATCAGGATGTGACGATCAGTTCTCAGACAGATGTGCTGTGTTTCCGGTGTTCATTCAGTTTCTGCTGTTTGACTGATGAAGTTTCCGCTCATCAGTCAAACGGAAAGGACATTTTTGAAGGTATTAAATAGTTTGCCTTCAGCTGAGGCAATTTAAGGTCTACTTCTTTATTTAGATTATTTTTCTAGATTTCTTTCTTTATCAGATCTGCAGCATAGACGGACGGTGAGTCAGGGAAAGCATCAGTATCTCTCTGATATTTCACCGTCGCAAGATAAGATCGGATAATCCTTTACTAGTCCCACAGCTGGGAATAGTTTTGATAACAGACAGAACACTTTTTGGGACTTTAAAGGTCAGTAGACTTGAAATGTGGATTGAAGTTGTTAGAAAAAGTTCTATAGTGCAAATAAGTGTTTTTGTCCTTCCTTAAAGAGTTATCATGTTGAAAGATGAATAAGTCTGAAACATGTATTAGCCTCCTCTGCTTTGAGAATTTTCCTTCAAACTGTTACCTGAACACCTTAAGCCTTTCTATTGATACCAACTAGATGCGTAAACCTTTACAGCTAAAACTGAATTTCATTATTTCATTTGACCTTTGGATACCAGAATCCTGAGTCATAAATCTGCTGGTTTGACTGATCGTTATGAGCTCCTAAGAGGTTTTATTTCTATCTCCTGTGTATTGTCCCGGTGGGAACTAAAAGCAAATATGGAGCTGGCTGGTTTCTTTCTCTGATCCTCCTCAGAGTTGTTCTGGTTTGAGTCCAGATCCCTGTGGTGCTCCCTCAGCAGACACTGGCTGGGTTTCATGTGCTCATCAGTGGCTGCTGTGGTTTCCTGCCTGGAACTACAAATGAGGTCAAACTGCTCTGGTTGAGGCGCTGCATTGAGGATAATACACCGGCGAGCCGAGGGCACCTACTCCTTTCTTCCCTGCGTTGTTGTGGTAGTTATCCCCTGACCTCTCAGCGTGGCGGGGGATAAAGGCTCGTTTTTGGCCGGCTGTAGGACATTCCTGCTGTTGACCCTGGTTACTGACATGTTAAATGAAGCCGTCGTCGGGCAGAATGAGGTTTCTGATTTTGTTGTTCCCTTTTTATTTTTGTATAAAACTGGCAGAACTAAACAAAACCGCCTCTCTGCGTGCGTCAGTCGTGTTTATTGGAGCTCTGATGGCAGCTTAGCATGTGGAAAGTCGTGCCAAATCTGCGGCATTTCATCCGAGAGTCCCCGTTTTGCTCAGTCATTCCCCTTTCTCTTTTAATTTACAGCCCTTGTGTTTTTTTAAATCCTTTCCCTACTCCTATCTTGTCATTTAGCATTTTTTAAACCCTTTTTTCGGTGTCTCAGCCTTTCTGATGCTGATCTCAGCTTCATCCTTTTTGTTTCTTTCTGTGCTTTTTCTTTGGGTTATATCAGCAGAGCACTATGGGAACAATGGGCAGGACCATTGCTGGGCTGCAGCCGGGGCTTATGGGACAATGCTGGGGGCGGAGGGATGGGATTTGGGGTGGGCGGTGGAACAATGTATCCACCGCAAGAGAGACAGTAGTGGAGGTGGGTTAGTAAAAGTAAAACGGCAACCAGAGCAAAGTTAGTGATGCAGCATTGATGCATACTGAAATCTCCCCTACTGTCACTGTGCTGTTGATCCACCTGGAGCTAACTTCACTACAAACACACTTTCAATTCTTTATTTCAAACCTAGGCAAAGCCTGGGAAAAGACAGTTTGTTCTGAAGGTGGTGCTCTATGAAATTCTGTGACTTCACAAGGTCATACAAATGTACATTCTCTTAAGGAGCAGAAAGGAGATCAATACATTGATATAAGCTTCCTCTGCACAAGGGGAACTTCTGCCTCCAGTTAGTGCAAGAGGAAAGGTCAGGAGGTCACCAAAAAGACCAGGTGTCATACTTTCGTGTAGATTACATTTAAAAGGTTTGAGGATAATCTGACCTGTAGGTGTGAAGATATATTAATATTTTATAAAATAATGCAACTACACATTTTAACCATACTAATTTGTGATGGAAACAGGTTTATTTGATTCAACCACACTATTGATTTTTTAGTTCAGTAACAGAAACATGTAGTCCATAATTCCTTTTAGGTACATAATGACTGTTTTTAAATGTAAATATATACACAAATAGTCATTCTGCTTCTCTAGTGTGAGGGTTTGTTGTTTTATTTTCTTATCTTATTGTATTATCATATTAAACTGAATATTTGTATAGTTTTGTACTGTTGGTCGGACAATGTGACGTCACCTCTGGAAATGTGTAATAGATACATTTGATGGATAAAGAGTTTTGTCAGAACAAAACAAATACAATTATGATACGGAAACATGGAAATAGTTGTTATTTACAGATTGAGTGACATCTTAAATGTTTTTGTTTTAAAGTAGGATCCCCTCAAAAAGTCTTAAATGTTCTAGCTTTATTAATAACCTATGTCTAAAATGCATGTTCTTCTCATCATGTTGTCATTTGGCATGATTGAGGCATCAGATAAAATCCCAAACACAACATAAATAGAGGAAGTGTTTTAGTTTGAGCGCTCCTCCTCCTCTCTGCCTGGACCTGCCTCCACATGTCGCCTGGCTCTGAATGCTCACAAAGTATTTTCCCACACTGAGCTTCCAGCCAGAGAAAGCAGTTCCACCTCTTCAATCAAACAATCAAAGGGACGGGGAGTGATGGGAAATCACCGACAGTCGAATGCTGGTAGATGTTTTGGCATAAGTGAGTGGAACCTGTTGGCAGCTGTCATGTTCCTGTTCTTGTCTTCAAATCTAATTATCGAAGTGTTTTTGAGGTGCCACCCACTATGTTTGGTGGACAACACATTTATTTTTCCTGCGGGGTGATCAGCCCGACGCCCAGTTCCTGTGTCAGCCAGCCAGGTGACGCAAGGATGTGGCAAGAGTTGTTGAGGGTTTTCAGTTACAGCTCCGGCACGTTAGCTCGGTTCTGCTTTAGTGACAGTTATGTGGCGTCGAGGTAAACAGCTCTTTGGTACACTAGAGGCATGACGCTCTGTGTGGAGCCACTCGGAACCAATCGGGAAGATTTTTTACAGATTTGTAAGACTGAGGTCGTGTTTTTCATTCGTTCTGGTTTTAGATTCTGGTTCAAAATCTTGTTGGTAAGGAAAGAAAATATGTGGAAATCACAAACAACTTTGTTTTCAGCTGCCATAAACAGTAACTCATCATGAAGGATGACATATTTTGTAATACTTTGGGTAGAATAAACACAACAATAAATACATATCTTCTGTCGAGATTGACAAAGTGGCATCTATGATTCTGGACATCAAAATGTATCTCAGTGCATTTTCATACTTGCAGAAAAAACCCTACACTCTTGCTTTCAGTGTATATGCATTAGTGAGGACATTTTGATTCTCACAGCTTACTTTGGTGAGGCTCCGCCACACTTTGCATGCTAGCCCGGCTTTCATTCGTAAACATCAAAGTAAACACGTCCAAACTTCCCCTCTCAGTGATTGCTGTAACGCCTCAGCTGAATTGAAAGAGAAAGAATGTGGTTAAGAAACATTTCCATATTTAGGGGAAAGTCATGTTTGCGGGAACATGATGCTAAAACTGGTTTCACTGGGAAGAGGTTATACGGGTGAAGAAACAAACAATCAGGCGATGAGACAGATGGAAACAAAAATAAACAACTTTTTTTTGTTGAGAAATAGTATGGGAACTGTTCATTTATGACCCAAATGATCTGTTGTAAAAATAAATCACAATTTACAAACTAACTTCCTGCTTTAAAGTGGACCTATCATGCTATATCTGAATAATATATTGTAGGGCCATACCTATATAAAACATGTCCGTGAAGTTTTTTTTTTCAAAATACCAAACAGATCATGCATTTTAGCCATGCCTCATTTCGCTCTATTTGCTCTATTCCAGCCCTGTCTTCACAAGGGCTGATTCTGTGGCAAATGAGCTGCAGCTGACCTCGCCCCCCTGCAAAGGAGGGGGGGCGAGGCACGAGCGCCATGTTACCATGCTGTTACCATGCCACGCAACCCCCCATTCCCCTGATGGGTGGAGATTTGGATATATAGGCGGAGCTCCTTGTTTCTGACATCAGAGATATTTCAAATCTCTATCAATCTGTATCCGCTCGTTGCAGCCCCATTTTTAGAGATTTGGGTATGGAGGAAAAGAGAGGGTTGTGTTTTCTGACACTTGGTGAGTTCCCTGACACACCGGGGACACATATTCATGTATACAAGACGTACAAAAGTGCATTTTGCATGATAGGTCAACTAACTGAAGTCATATGAACAGAGTTTGTGTACAATGAGGGATAATTAGTAAGATTTTAGGTGATTTTACTTCACATTTTTCTTCGAAACAATATAGTATTTTATTATCTGGATAAACTGTTGGTTTGTGACCAACCTGTCTGGTTGTTGTATCTTTTTAGTGATGTTACTTCGTGCTCAGATATTAACTAGAGAAGTACGGTTTTGTTAGTAATAACAGAAACAATGGACAAAACTAACCAAAAAATACCTAGGTTGTGAAAAACTGCAATGATTCTATAACAAAGTCTTCAACAAAGGAGACTGAAGTCAATGTAAGAAATCCAAACTCAACACAAACAAAACAATCTGCCTCTCAGTGAATCTTGTGGAGCTGTTGATTGTGTGGTGGAAAACACCATTTTGTGGGGTCTGTATGAACATATCGTTGAGTTCACATGGCTGCAAACACATCAAAGATCCACGCCAGACATTGGTGTCCAGACATTGGTGTCCACCGTCATTTTCCATCTTCAGAAGAGAACACAGGAAACGTATAAGACATGAGTGAATCCCCTGTGTGATGTTTGTTATGGCTCATTATGGTCCAATAATCCTGTCGGCTGCTCTGAGCGCTCGATAGCCCGACATCACAGCCCGAGCTAACCGCTAATCTGAAAGCTACATGAACCACTGTGGTTTCCTGCAGGGCTGAGTGTTGGGGCGACAGAGTTTATCTAGCTGCTGTGGATCTACGCCAACACCGGCAGGGTTTAATACATGTGGACAGGATGATGTGAGACCACCAAGGATGAAGTTCAGGCACATTTAAAACATGTTTTTTTATTTAATCAAAGAGCGCTGATTTAACATAAACGCTGCAACAAACCAGAAACTCATCATGTCAACAGGTTTCTGGGGTTTCCACTCTTGCTCTGGCAGTTTTCCCGCTGCGGTTTTGGATGTTGGTCGGGTGTAGTGCTGAGCTCTCTTCACACAGGACTGGTGTTAGCAGGAGAGATACACTGATTTAAAATGACTGGGATTCTGTTCAAGCTTTTCTTGAAGGGATGGAACACCCTGGAACAACAGGAACATTTAAGTTTATGCAGTGAGTTGTAAAATATTCTATAAAAAGTTAGGCTAATGGACAAGCTTGAAATACTTTGTCCAACTTTGAAACATAACATTAGCCTTTCTGCTCTGTAATCTCTTTTCAGGACATCTCACTGATCCATCATTTATCTCTGCAACAAGGAGCTAATATTACCCGATAATATCAGCAATGCTTAAATAATGTCCTGTTGTTTTATGAGCCAGATCGCATTTGAATTGAATTACTCAAATCCATATTTATTGCCGCAGGGAGTCTGCAACCTGCCAATCACCCAAAGGAATGTACTTCTATACTTGTGAGGACTCTGACTGGCAAATACATTGCCTTAACATTAAAGTTCACCTCAAAACTGAGTCGTAACCCCCAAACAAGCCATTGAAGAAGTGAAGACCAGACATAATCTCCTCAGACTCCATGTTTAAAACTTAAATGAGTCGTCTCAAAGAGCCCACAAAACACTCTCTTTCCGTCTTTGTGTTTCCCTGCTCCTATTTCTGGAGTCCCCGCGTTTGAATGGTGTGAATGTTGGAGGGAAAGTGTCACAAGAGAGAGCGCGAGAGAGAAAACTCTGCAAGCCTCAAACCACAATACAATACACACACACACACACACTGGCTCTGCTCTGTCTGTCATTCGATAGTGGTGAGAGCGACAGTGGCTTTAAGAGAGACAAAGAGTTTCAAAGTTGAGCCGAAATAATGGGACGCAAAACCCCAAAACACACACACACACACACACACACACACACACATACTCTGTGCAGTACAATTAGGGACTTTGGGATGTTTCAGTGGCGCATGACTATTTAGTTTTGAGTCTTTCTCATGAAATACTTAATGTTCAGAGAAGTTGACTTCTTCTGTGTTTATTCTTCAGAGACTGATCCTATATTTGCTTTTCCTGAAAACTATGTTTATATTTAAATCTGAAGTCAATATTCTGTGAATGCTGCAGTCTCTTTTGAATAGACAATTTCATAACATGTACAATTGATGTGCACTTTAAGAGCAGTTGTATATACTATAAGTAGGATGTTTAACACCATACATTATAAGAATTGTTTAATTTATATTACATATTTGTATTTATGATGAATAGTCTTCAAGCATCAAATCAAATTTCATCTAATTTAATTTGTATTAAATGAAGTGCAATCGGGGGACCAATGCCAATATCCATCTTAACGGCCCGTCCACATGGCGGCGTGCGTTGAAGCTTCAACGCTTCTGCCCATTCACTTTGAATGGGGTGACGTCCCGCTTCGCCGAACTGCATTGTGGTTCCGTCGCTTCGCGTTGCTCGCTTCAAACGTTGAGAAAAGTTCAACTTTTGAAGCTTTGACGGAAGCGTCAGCCAATCAAATCATATGCCAGTACAAGCTCTAGCCAATCAAACCGCCGCGTGCTTGTGTGTCCGGGGCGGGACATTCATGTGATTGGTTGTTGGTCGAGTTTCAGACACGCCCGCAAGCTTCAACGCACGCCGCTGTGTGGACGCTGCGTAACTGTTTTTTGTAGGTTTGGGCATATTTCACCATTTGACATTAGATTTTCCAAGTTGTATCCAATATATAAACATAGAACAACTGCAAATCTTCTAATTTTAATAAAAGTTTGTTGTTTTGAAATTATAAAACGTTCAACAAAATCGATCAAAATGTATTAATTTTCCTTCTTTCTGTCTTTTTGTGCAGAGATCCTACACATTGATCGTGGAAGCCTTGGACTTCAACAACGACTCGTCCTCCGGCAGTGAGTATCTTCATCGTTATCCTCTTCATCATCCATCCTTCTTCACTCCTCTCTGCTGACACAAACATGACCTTTAACCTGAGAGCTTGAATCCATAAAGATGCCACTTCTGTGTGAAAACTAACGGACTCCAAATCGGCTTCGGTGTGTTTGTTCAAACGTTGAAAGAAAACTTCAAATGGGCATTTCACGTACAGGATAGAAAATAATATCACCTATGAAATCCTAGGCATGGCACAGGACTTTGATTAATGTGCTTTAGGCCAGCAGTGGTAGAGAATGATATATATATACCTGGGTGACATATTAGCAAATAAATGAAATATTAAGCAGAGCAAATTCATTTACAAAAAACTGAAATTACATTGAAAGAAAATGTATTTAAAATGTTTTGTGATGTTATGAGGTATTAAGGCATAGATTTATTTTGCAAGCCCCTGAATTATTAGACTGTAATTCGCTTGGATTAAAACATCTTTTTGTGTAGCTGATTATATTACCTTTACATTTTCTGGGACTTAATTTTTTCCCATATTTTGTTTCTGTACTCGGATGTTCGAAAATCCAGTGTAGGTAAACTAGAATGAGTATAACAGTCTAAAACATATATCAAACAAACCAAAAGGGTTAACAGAATGTGTTATGAATTAATTCACTATCAACAGTTATGAGGAACTTTTCTGGTGTTTTTCCGGTGATAACAACAACCCAACAAACAAGGCTGAGTTTACCATAAGAGTTTACCAACTGTTGCCAACCCAGTTACTGACACAAACACATCAGATAAATTATGTATGTACAGAGGGATTTATGTTATTCTGAAAGCCAGCACATCAAACTTGTCAGAACATGTTTGTTTAAATAAGAGTCTGTACTTAAACCGCACAGAAGACATTAAATAACTATTATTAAATGTTCTGCCTGATCCAGGAACATTATTACTTCATTTGATTAACCCTTCGCAGACTTCTGGAGCCTTTTCTTATTTATCAGAGTGCTTAACTCCCCCTATATTTTTACAATGGCCTTTTAGAGTTGTTTACATGAGTCCCATTCAGAAAAGTGTTTGTAAAGAGTGTGTAAGGAGGGAGTAAAGTTGGCATCTTCAGTTGGAGCGTGTGTTTATCACCCGGCCGGCAGCGAGGCGGTTTGAGCGTTGGCTCAGTGCTGTATTTGGCGTCCCTCAGGGAACCATTATAGGCCCGGTGTGAAGTCGGCTGACCTCGGCAAAAGGTGGTCTTCAGTGCCTACAACGAGTAACAGGGGGTGTGTGGCGAGTCCAGTTCATTCGAGTATTATTTATATGGGATTTTATCAAGATCACAAAATAAAACACTTCCAATAAGTTGTTTCTTGTGAATATCCACACAGTAGTGATTTAAAAAAAGCTTTCTAGCTCACTATCATGTAGAAACGTACAAATTAAATTCAAAATTATCATGAAAGAAAGAAGAGAATGACACGCTACACATAATATTATTATTTTTTAATATATAGTTGAAAATGTATTTATCCTTTCATATTCAATTACGATTAGCTTATTTAAAATTGGTTTTAATGTTTGTTTTTTATCAAAAAGGATTTTTACTAAAAAAAGAAGTGTCCCATTTGTGATGCAATCAAAAATATTAGAAAGCAATATCTAAGACAGTAGCTCTTAAGGTCATTTGTTAGGGTCAATAGTTTAAAGCATTTTGATCAATGATTTTGGAAATTATTTTAACCACAGCAATCATGATATTAATTGCTTACATCATCCCATTCGTAGCTGTCTTTCACACAATTTCCAGCTAGAGTTAATACGATGCAATGTCTTTCATTAAGTTAAACATGCTGATGGATACTTTGATTCGATTGGATGTAGTTTATCTAGAAGCCTTCAGCAGTCAAACGGAGCTGAAAGGTTGAAGCTGAAACTGCTTTAAAGCCAAAAGACTAAGAGGACGAAACAAATATTGACCCTCTCAGTTTAGCATCAACAAGCTAAGTGCCCTCGACGCGTGGTCGGTAACAAACGCCTGAATCACTCTGTAACTGCAGGAACCCTCTGATCACTTCCTGCTCAGAAACAAACAGCAGACGCAGTTAGAGATTAGCTGGTGAACATAGTGGAGCTCTTAGCAACCAAAAGGCCTGATATTTCCCTCAGGAGTTGAAAACACAGCAGAAACGGAGTGGATGTTGGATTTACATTCACAAAAACAAAGACTCCTAATGAATGATCATGATGTTCTGTAACTTGTGGATGTGAAAGTACGCAACTGTTTGCTAACAAGTTTGCCACAACTACTTATAAGGTCAGTGTTGTGTTTACAACCTGACATTTAGTGGCCAATGAATTCATGAATGAAACCTTAATATTCAAGAGTTAGGTAGATAATAGACGGCTTCATTTGTTTTTTCAATGCACGCAATATTTTAGTTAAACTAACAATATTCTCCAGGATCATCTCTCCTTCTACTGTCTGTCATAAAAGTTGAAATCAGGGCTTCAACATTTGGGAAAAATAACTAATTTCCATTATTTTAAGTAATATTGCAATTGTATATGATTTGTGATATTTGAGGGAATGACCATAGTTCACTTTATCATTGAAAAATATACTTAAATGTTTTTTTTTTATGAAGCAAACAAGTCTTGAGAATACCGTTTGTACACACAATACAATACTTAACTTTTCACATATTTTGCTGCTACCAATTATCACGCCTTCTGCGATTTGGATATTGCCCTAGTCCATAATGCGTTTCGGAACTAGTTTAAATCAGTTTATTATCCAGTAAAAATGATCGAAGTGAACCCAATCTCAAGGCCTCAGATTCTCAGTCATCAGTTCCTTCAGAAACGACTGCAGGACATTTTCAACAGTTTTTTTTCTTCAGTCCAGGTTTGACTGAGTTGCAGATCTCAGGCAGGTGTTGGTTTGACAGCTCAGCCGGTATTCCTCGATAAAGTGCCAGGTTTAAATATTTGCTCAAATATTCCCCAACGGAACGGATCCAGTCTTTTTTGAGGTTGACCATTTTTCAAATCTGCTACCTGTGTGCCATTTTTAGCACATGTTTTATTCCCCATCGTGATGTGAAGTGTCACAGTTTGCTTCCAGAGGTTTCAACCGTCTCTTTTCGGCCGTTTCAGTCCTGATGCTCTTCGGTTAAACAGACGCCGTCACCTCGGCCCGACCACACTTTCCACCCCGCTGGTGAAATACCACAGAGCAGCTCAGCATTTTCAAACTCTCTGGACATTTATTACAGCAGACCGAATCCTCCTGCAGCTGCAAGTACCACCGTCCTCACAAACCAGGACTGTTTGCGTTTGTGCAGCTGCTCAAATACTGTCAGGCTGAAGACAATTTACAGCTCGAGTTATTACGATGTGAAGCGATAAAAATGATTTCTTGCATTACAGCAGCTTCAGTTGCAATATCAACAAATACAAACAAAAGAAGCACTTTCTTTCAAGATAAGATCCAATCTTCCTATTCCAATCCCAAAAAACGATTTTCCATCTTCTCCACCCTCTTGGACCCTCCCAAAGCCCCTTCCCCCTCCTCCCTTCTGTCAAGCGACTTTGTTACCCACTTTGAAAAAAAGGTTGATGATATTCGCTCTTCTTTTTCTGACTCACCTTTACTCACCGCTGGGTCACCAGACCCTCCTTCCACCAACACACTTACCTCCTTTTCCCCTCTCTCTCCAAGTGAGGTTCTTACCCTCATTACCTCTGCCCGCCCTACCACCTGTCCTCTGGACCCTATCCCTTCAAACCTCCTTCAGACTATCGCTCCTGATATTCTACCGTTTCTCACCCATTTCATCAACACTTCTCTAACTTCTGGTCACTTTCCAAACAGTCTCAAGGAGGCAAGAGTAAACCCTCTCCTAAAGAAACCCACTCTCAACCCGTCAGATGTTATAAACTACAGGCCTGTCTCTCTCCTCCCGTTCCTGTCTAAATCACTTGAACGCGCTGTCTTTAAACAACTCTCCTGTTATCTCCATCAGAACAACCTTCTGGATCCGCACCAGTCTGGTTTCAAGGCAGGTCACTCCACAGAAACTGCTCTCATTGCTGTCACGGAGGAACTGCACACTGCCAAAACTGCATCCCTCTCCTCTGTCTTCATCCTGTTGGACCTGTCTGCTGCATTCGACACGGTGCATCATCAGATCCTCCTTCGCACTCTCCAAGAACTTGGAGTTTCAGGCTCTGCACTTTCCCTCCTCACCTCATACCTCAAAGACCGTACCTACAGGGTGACTTGGAGAGGGTCTGAGTCCGACCCTTGTCAATTAACTACGGGGGTCCCTCAGGGCTCTGTTCTTGGTCCCCTCCTCTTCTCCCTGTACACAAACTCGCTCGGATCAGTCATTAGCCCGCATGGTTTTTCTTACCACTGCTACGCTGACGACACCCAATTAATTCTGTCCTTTCCCCGCTCAGAGACCCAGGTCGTCGCACGCATCTCTGCTTGTCTAGCTGACATCTCTCAGTGGATGTCTGCTCATCACCTCAAGCTCAACCTTGACAAGACTGAGCTGCTTTTCCTTCCGGGAAAAGATTGTCCCACTCTTGACCTAACAATCAACATCGGCACCTCAGTTGTTTCCCAGACTCAGACTGCAAGGAATCTGGGTGTGACCCTAGATAACAACCTGTCCTTCACTGCAAACATCACTGCTACAACCCGTTGCTGCAGATGCACGCTTTACAACATCAGGAGGATGCATCCCCAGCTGACACAGAAAGCGACGCAGGTTCTGGTCCAGGCTCTCGTCATCTCACGCCTAGACTACTGCAACTCCCTCCTGGCTGGTCTACCTGCATGTGCCATCCGACCTCTGCAGCTCACCCAGAATGCAGCGGCTCGTCTGGTCTTCAACCTTCCTAAATTCTCCCACACCACTCCGCTCCTCCGCTCCCTTCACTGGCTTCCGGTAACTGCTAGAATCCACTTCAAGACACTGGTACTTGCGTACCATGCTGCGAATGGATCTGGCCCTTCGTACATCCAGGACATGGATAAACCGTACACCCCAGCGCGTGCACTACGCTCTGCATCAGCCAAACGACTCGCTGCACCCTCGCTGCGAGGGGGACCCAAGTTCCCATCAGCAAAAACACGTGGGTTTGCTATCCTGGCTCCAAGATGGTGGAATGAGCTCCCCATTGACATCAGGACAGCAGATAGCTTGCACATCTTCCGGCGCAGACTGAAAACTCATCTCTTTCGACTCCACTTCGAGCGATATATTTATTAACAAAGCACTTATACTAATAAAGGACTGGCTAATCTAAAGGCAGTTGAGTAGCACTTGAAATGTTTGGCTCTATGAAACCTGATGTACTTATATGATTCTGTTTTCTTCAAGGTTGTGTCTTCCTGGTCGAATGTACTTATTGTAAGTCGCTTTGGATAAAAGCGTCAGCTAAATTCAATGTAATGTAATTTAAAATGTCTCTGTTTTGGATTATAACTATGGATTTTTTATTATATCTTGTATTTATATTTTGACCTAAAGGAGAACTTTATTTGAGCGCCTAATGTTTGAAATCATAATATTATTGCAGGAGTATTTTATTACACAATGACAACTGTAATCGTTTGCACCATCTTTTGAAAAGCAATAAGTTAGCATTTAAAACTCAAACACTTCTTGTGTCTGCTGTTCCTTAAAAACAAAAGTGATTTGTCTTTTTTTGTATGTATATACTAGGGCTGCACGATTTTTCTGATAAATATTGCGATTCGATTTGCGATATTTATTTTTAAGCGACCCAACGGAAGTTCATTGTAAAATGCGGCCAAATCTCCGGCTAGGAAGGTCGTATCAACGTGCTCCCGTCTCTAGCACCCCCGCAGCCCGAGCTACGAGTGAAAGAACTAAACTTACATGAAACTTCCGTTGGGTTGCTTTAAAGTCAAGCTTCAGTTTAAGATTCACCCTGTAATAGAAACATGTGATGGAGCATTACTAACCTGACTCAGACGGTTTGTTTCACCAGACCATCTAAAGCTCCATTGGAAGCCATTTGGAAAAGTATTTCAGAAATACTTGGCAGGTGATTGGATCAATCTGTCTATCACCGTCTATCATGGGCCACTTCTGATTGGTTAACAATGGCTGGTACATGTGGAGCACAGCACTTCTGATTGGTGTGGATGACTGACACACAAGAAGAACAAAACAAATAAATAAAAAATAGCAGGCTTTGCGATTTGATAATAGCATCATTTAAAATCGTGATTTCGATTTGAAATCGATTAATCGTTCAGCTCTAGTATCTACCAGTTTGTCTTTAAAACACAATTAAATGTGCTATCTGACTGATATTATCTTGATCTTATTACATTTGTTTCGACGTGTGTATATATATATATATATATTGCAAGATGATCTTGCACTATTTTTATTCTACTGTCTTGCACTATTTTTTTATTTGTTTTATGTCTATATATTAATAATAATACATGGAATTTGTATAGTGCTTTTCCTAATGCTCAAAGACGCTTTACATAACATCAGAACAGAAACAATACAAAGAAAACAACATAAACAATAGTATGTATATCTTATTGTTTATAGACTCTTATTTCACTATTTTACTATTTTTTTGTATTTACTTACACCATTTTTTCTGTTTTATTGTGTTGCACTGTTGGAGGAGCCGGTGACCTAAGAATTTCATTGACATAATTACACTGTAGCTATGTACGTATGACAAATAAAAGCCTTGAACCTTATGTTTCGTCGTTGGAGGAGCCTGGGAATAAAGATGTCCATCGGCATATCTACACTGTAGCTACTGTGCTTATTGTAAGGGAAACTTCTGTGTAGCTATGCAGTGGGAGTCACCGACTCAGGAAAGAGACACGGGAAGAGCAGGAGCTTTGTTGTCAAACACTGGAGGTTTATTTGGAGCTTCGGCCGGAGAATTCACATCACAAGTCACAGCAGCCACGGTCTGACTGCATGGGAGAGTTGCCACGTCAATTCTGGAGCGCCTCTCTCTCGTTAGCCCATTTAACTGGTTTCACAGAGAGTAATCAACATATTTGAGAAGATAGCCTAAACAGTTGGGAACACTGAGTTACTTGCGTCTGACACTTATGGCCTCGAAGATTTCACACCTTGGAGTCCACAAACACAGAGAAGGAAGTGTCCCAGTGTACCCACAACAATAAACCATCTGTGACCTAGGGTTGCCCGGTCATAGAATGGGAACAACAACATTATGGCTGAAGCAGCCTATCTCCTTAAAGGAGATAACAGACGTCAGGGTTGGTCATGCACGTCATATCTAGGAGTCTAGGACAATTATTTCCCTAACACTTATGACAATAAAGCCTTGAATCTTTGATCTTTAATATGAATTCCTCTTTGTCCACAGATGTCGGTGGGGTGATGATTGAGAAAGCCGTCCTCTCGGGGATGATCAACCCGAGCCGGCAGTGGCAGAGTCTGCAGCACACCGGCCCCGTGGCTCAGTTCCACTTCCAGGTCCGCCTCAGCTGCGACGAGCACTACTACGGCTTCGGCTGCAACAAGTTCTGCCGCCCGCGGGACGACTTCTTCGGACACTACGAGTGCGACCACAACGGGAACAAGACGTGTCTGGACGGCTGGGCCGGACCAGACTGCAACACTGGTGAGTTATCAGTGGGTTTTATTGATGTATGGAAACTTTAGAGGGGATTCTTCCTTGTTTCAGACCATTAAACATTTTGATAGTGTTGAATTAGCATTATCCCCATTTTATTGCACAATTTCATCGTTGTACCTTTAATTATTTTTTCTATGTCTACTATTTGCTATTTTTAGTTTGTTTGTATGTCTTTTACTGGTAACTGTATTCTGTGTGATATCAATGTTCTGTGAAATGTCTAAGTGAAGCACCTGGAACTGCACTTATTGTATGAAAGGTGCTCTACAAATAAAGATTATTATATTATTATTAAATACAAGATTTTATATCAAATCAGAGCAATTTTTACATTTTTTCTTTCAGACGGACATTTTTTGTTTCCTGTGTTTATTTCAAAATACACCTTTTTAAGATTATTTAAAAACTTTCCTTGAGCTTTCAGCCCTTTGAGAAAGAAAAAAACATTTGGTGGGAAAACAGTCAGGAAAACGGAACAACAGCAGATATCAACAATCTCTTGAAAGGGAATTATACTTTAAGATATTTGATATTTCTGTACCTCTGCCAAAGATAAGTCTTCTTTAACTCAGGCATCTGTTTTGAACAAGACTGGAGTTGTCCCTCTGTGCCTCCATCTTGGACTAAAATGTCTGTTTGGCGTCAGCATGGGGACTATTTCTCTAACTCAAATGTATTTTAACTGAAGTACCTGATTAAGTTATGGATGTTTGAAAAGGAACGATGGTATCCCAATTAATTCATTCGTAAGTTGTTTACTGGGTGCCAACAAATCTCATACTTGGAACAGACTAAATTCCTGTTAAGACGTTAATGGAATAAAATGAATGTTCTTTTTGCTGCGTTCATGTTTGCTCATAGTTTCTTTTTGGTTCTCTTTCTCACGACAGCGATCTGCAGACAGGGCTGCAGCACAGAGCACGGATCCTGCAAAGTTCCTGGAGAGTGCAAGTAAGAAACAACACAGCAACACACCTTGTCTGGCTTTTTGTCTGTAGTTGAATGTAGATGTAAAGATGGTAGAGGTGAGATACAGAGAGGTATGACATGCAACAAATGTCTCCAACAGGATTAAACTCAGAGATGCTTTTACGCAAAATTGTTCTATTATTGCATTTCTGCTTTTTACATTTTATTTAAATCTCCGTATTTTTCCAAAATGTTACCTTTAATTATCCAGGAAAGCCACAGTTAGATACATACAAAAGCTCTTTAAGAAGTGTTGCAGCCTGGATGAGAAATATAAACACTGAAATGAGCAACATGCGACAGTCTGATCACAATATGAAGCACAAAATCTAAATAAACGTCAAATGTATAAAAGTCACATTGAATAATCATAGGACAAAATCAGGAATGTGTTGAAATGTAATTCTAAAAGTAGTTTATTACTGTGGTATCAATGTTGTGACTCAAGTACAGGATCTAAACACTTCTAACACAACAGGTTTTTTTTTAATAATGAAAAATAATACAATCTTTTGTATAAAACAATCTTTTGTATAAATCTCCACCAAGAGTCGTTCTGATACCTTGTAAACCAAATGTACACATGCTGATAAAGCACTATTTTTTGCATTGATACACAAGAAATGTATGCGTTATACGAAAAGATAATCAACCAATGACTTTATCAAACTAATGTATATCAGACCCGGCGCCGTGGGGCCGTCCCATTCGACATTCCTGCCCTCCCCCAATAGAGAACCGCAGTAACGCGTCCTAAGTTACCATTTTTACCACGTCCGGTTCCTTCGATAAAAAGCAATGCAATCTCTCCATATGATTTTGGAAAATAGCTGGAAATAAGGTCTGTGTTTGACACAAATTGAAGAAACAGATCACGTTTTGTTCTACGACATTAAACACATCAGCAGTGACCCCGCTGGTGATTTCTGAAGAGTTTACGTGTCTGAAAAACGATGGTTGTTACCAAGTGGCTGAATAGGACTACAGAAGTTGTCGAGGACATTCTACGTCATTACACCGAACGCGTAAACACTCCCGCTAAGTTTGTTTGCCCTGTTCTGCTTGAAAGCAAGTTCCTGCCTCCTGCAAAGTGTTCAAACAAACGCTTCAACTTTTACCATTTAGAATCTGTATGTTTGAATATCGATCTAAAGTTGGCGTGACGTTGAAGCAGCGACCCTGCTGTAGTTCCTTTATAGCATAACGTTAGCATTTTGCTTCTTGCGACTAGATTTATCATTCGAAAATTATAAAAGTAGGGTAGACATGGGGAGATTATCCGGCTGAACAAAACGTGATCCGTCTCTTAAATGTGTCTCAACCACAGACCTTATTTCCAGCTATTTTCCAAAATCCTATGGAGACATTGCATTGCGTTTTTGACGAAGGAACCGGAAGGAGTTTACTTCCGGGTTTTAGGATGCGTCACTGCGGTTCTCGATAAACACGTTTTTTATTATTTATAAAAATGTTAGAGGATGTTAGGTCCACCCCCCACTTATAAAAAACACCCCTACTTACACCTATATGCCGTGAGCTGATTATCGAGCCTTCATTGTAACAGTCGCGGGTACACTGTGTTAGTGCGTGTGGGGAGTGTTGCAGTAGAACATTCCACTGTAGCGCCCGGTACATTAATGGGAAACTCTACATGTTTGAGCACCGTCTATGAAACGTCAAGCTACCCCACAGCACCCCAAAAGAAAATCTCTGGCGTCGACACTGGCCGCGGCACATGGCGGTTTTGTGTGCCCTCCCATGAAAACATATGCCCTCTCTAGATTTATTCTGGCGCCGGGTCTGATGTATATTATTGTGTTTGTCTCTCAGGTGTCTGTACGGCTGGCAGGGGGATTACTGCGACCAGTGCATCCCTCACCCCGGCTGTGTGTACGGCAGCTGTATGGAGCCCTGGCAGTGTCTCTGTGACACCAACTATGGAGGACAGCTCTGTGACAAAGGTACACACACACACACACACACACACACACACACACACACACACACACACACACACACACACACACACACACACACTGTTAAGTCTTTAGAGAACTTCTCTGAAAGTAGCTTTTACATTTTCCTGGGGATTTCTGTCCACATTAAGAAGAACATGAGTGTCTACACCTGAATAGAACTAGAGCTGCACAATATGAAGTAAATATATTATACAGAGTCTTAATAAACTATTAAAGATTATTTCCAGAGATAAAAAACAGATTATTATGTGAACTTCTGTTGCTGATTACACAGATAAATAATGTATTTTGTTGTGCAGATCTGAACACGTGTGCGACGCTGCAGCCGTGTTCAAACGGAGGAACCTGCAGCAACACGGGACCGGACAAATACCACTGCTCCTGCCCAGAGGGCTTCTCTGGGGTCAGCTGTGAGAGAGGTGAGAGGAGGCAGTCCAGGGTGCAGTTTAAAGAGGCTTCAACCCATTCTGTGTGTTTTAAAAAGAGCGCCATTTTATTTATAAAGGCGCCTTTCAAGGCTCTCAAGGTCGCCGTACAAGGTACACAAAAGTCCAAAAAACACAATAATATAATCAATCAATAAAAACAGAAAAGCAGAGGATGTGTGATGTGATCAGGGTGTTTAATAAGAGCGTAATCTTTTATTTTAGTATAAAAATCAGGGAGAAAATTGTACATACAGGATGAAAAGTTAGTTTGATTTCCATATTCTGATCACACGCCGGCCCCTCAAAGGATATCTGATGTTCATTGTGGGTTAATGTCCATAAATCCAGTTAAAAATTCATAGAAAAATAACACTTCTTCCCCTCCTGTCTCAGCGGACCACGCCTGTCTGTCTAACCCCTGCCTGGGGGGCGGAAGCTGTGTGGAGACGAGTCAGGGCTTCGAGTGTCGCTGCTCCTCCGGCTGGACCGGACCCTCCTGCTCCATCAGTAAGACCTCTTTACACCTTAAAGGTCACCTATTATGCAAAATCCACTTCTTCATGTCTCTTCTACATCAACATGTGTCCCCTCTTCTTCATGTCTCTTCTACATCAACATGTGTCCCCTCTTCTCCATGTCTCTTCTACATCACCATGTGTCCCCTCTTCTTCATGTCTCTTCTACATCAACATGTGTCCCCTCTTCTCCATGTCTCTTCTACATCAACATGTGTCCCCTCTTCTTCATGTCTCTTCTACATCAACATGTGTCCCCTCTTCTTCAAGTCTCTTCTACATCACCATGTGTCCCCTCTTCTTCATGTCTCTTCTACATCAACATGTGTCCCCTCTTCTTCAAGTCTCTTCTACATCACCATGTGTCCCCTCTTCTTCATGTCTCTTCTACATCAACATGTGTCCCCTCTTCTTCATGTCTCTTCTACATCACCATGTGTCCCCTCTTCTTCATGTCTCTTCTACATAACTATGTGTCCCCTCTTCTTCATGTCTCTTCTACATCAACATTTGTCCCCTCTTCTTCATGTCTCTTCTACATCAACATGTGTCTCCTCTTCTTCATGTCTCTTCTACATCAACATGTGTCCCCTCTTCTTCATGTCTCTTCTACATAACTATGTGTCCCCTCTTCTTCATGTCTCTTCTACATCAACATGTGTCCCCTCTTCTTCATGTCTCTTCTACATCACCATGTGTCCCCTCTTCTTCATGTCTCTTCTACATAACTATGTGTCCCCTCTTCTTCATGTCTCTTCTACATCAACATTTGTCCCCTCTTCTTCATGTCTCTTCTACATCAACATGTGTCTCCTCTTCTTCATGTCTCTTCTACATCAACATGTGTCCCCTCTTCTTCATGTTTCTTCTACATCAACATGTGTCCCCTCTTCTTCATGGCTCTTCTTCATCAACATGTGTCCCCTCTTCTTCATGTCTCTTCTACATAACTATGTGTCCCCTCTTCTTCATGTCTCTTCTACATCAACATTTGTCCCCTCTTCTTCATGTCTCTTCTACATCAACATGTGTCTCCTCTTCTTCATGTCTCTTCTACATCAACATGTGTCCCCTCTTCTTCATGTTTCTTCTACATCAACATGTGTCCCCTCTTCTTCATGGCTCTTCTTCATCAACATGTGTCCCCTCTTCTTCATGTCTCTTCTACATCAACATGTGTCCCCTCTTCTTCATGTCTCTTCTACATCAACATGTGTCCCCTCTTCTTCATGTTTCTTCTACATCAACATGTGTCCCCTCTTCTTCATGTCTCTCTACATCAACATGTGTCCCCTCTTCTTCATGTTTCTTCTACATCAACATGTGTCCCCTCTTCTTCATGTCTCTTCTACATCACCATGTGTCCCCTCTTCTTCATGTCTCTTCTACATAACTATGTGTCCCCTCTTCTTCATGTCTCTTCTACATCAACATGTGTCCCCTCTTCTTCATGTCTCTTCTACATCAACATGTGTCCCCTCTTCTTCATGTCTCTTCTACATCAACATGTGTCCCCTCTTCTTCATGTCTCTTCTACATCACCATGTGTCCCCTCTTCTTCATGTCTCTTCTACATAACTATGTGTCCCCTCTTCTTCATGTCTCTTCTACATCAACATGTGTCCCCTCTTCTTCATGTCTCTTCTACATCAACATGTGTCCCCTCTTCTTCATGTCTCTTCTACATCAACATGTGTCCCCTCTTCTTCATGTCTCTTCTACATCAACATGTGTCCCCTCTTCTTCATGTCTCTTCTCCATCACATGTGTCCCCTCTTCCTTCATGTCTCTTCTTCATCAACATGTGTCCCCTCTTCTTCATGTCTCTTCTACATCAACATGTGTCCCCTCTGTGGAAAGAGACTCTGAAAGTTTCAGGAACAAAGATTCTCTCTCTTTTTGTCCTGATCCATTTCTATAAAAACCTGTCAGAAAATGAGCTGATCAGATTTTGGCCACTTTATGATGTCATAACGATGTTTTGTCTTGTGTAACCATTAGCCAATCAGCAACCAAGGTAACCCCCCCCACCTTATCACCTGAATCTCCTCCTAGAGCACCATTGAGTTCTTTGTAACCAAATATCTCTCAGAGGGGCGTGGGGAGGGGCTCCTTGTTTTCATCTAAAGTAACAGACAGAGAATCAGCACTTTGGAAACAGGGCTGAAACAGAGGGGATTATGGGTAAAGCTGCAATGATCTGTTTGGTGTTTGGAGCCAAACACTTCAGAGACAGGTTCTGTCTGAGACCTGTAATATATTGATGGAAAACAGTATAATAGGGGACCTTTAATATACGATAAGAATTACCAATTTGGGAAATGTTTGCATTGCAGCAGCATAAAAAGACATGGCATTGTACAATAACAATTAAAAGACTAGAAGTAAATATTCCAAAATGTAAACATCTCAATAGAAATAATAAAGTCCTTCCCCAGATCCTTTTCAACCCTCCAGGGAAGCTGTATGAACTCTTTCCTGTTCTGTGTGTCTCAGATGTGGACGAGTGTGTGTGGAACCCCTGCAGTCATGGAGGCACCTGTCAGGACCTGATCAACGGGTTCAAGTGCACCTGTCCGGCTCAGTGGATCGGGAAGACCTGCCTCATCGGTGAGGCTGCAACCAGCGACTTTTTAACATTATCAATTCATCTGCAGATCATTTTCTCCATTGATAGTAGCTGTTTGATCTATAATGTCATACATATCCATCCATCAATGTGGATCAATGATTTACCTGTTCCACATTTGATCACAAGTGAACACTCTTGGTCACGACGGTTTGAAGTGTCTGGACTACAACAGATAAAGGTTTCAAACGTTATAATGTTTGTGGATTCTTTTGGTTTTAGATGCAAACGAGTGTGACGACGACCCCTGCGTCAACGCCCACTCCTGCAGGAATCTGATAGGAGGATATTTCTGCGAATGCCTCCCAGGTTGGACGGGAAAGAACTGTGACACCAGTGAGTACATGCTAAATAATAATCAGTGTAATGAGGAGGAGATGGGAACAGAACCCACAGAAGCAATAACAATAATATCTATTCGTATGGGAACAAAACGTTTTTGTTTTGAGACTTAAGTGTGTTTGTTCTTTGCTCCAAAAAGAAATTCTTGGATGCAACTCTTGGTCTTTCCCAGCTCTGATGTTGTTTACTTTGCTTAATCTAGTCCATCTGTCAGACAACTTGTAATACCTGAATCATAACATGGACTCCTTATCTATCCAATGCTCAAATGTTACATAAGGGTTAATTGCTCAGGAGTAAAAATCAACACAACCTGAGCTTCACTTTTGAGTTTTCTTACTGTTTGTACATGTTTAAAGCCTATAATAACTGTTCCTTTAACGAGCTGAACAACACTTTCACTTCAACAAAAGATTATTTAAAAAAGAACATTTGAAGTTTTGTTGGAGTCAGATGTGGTTTGGTAAATCTAAGCTTTGTACACCAGAAGATAAAACAGATCTTATCCCTGCTTCTTAGTGATTTCACTCTGACCATAAGCTAAACAATTGGCTCTAAAATATATACAAATGTTTGACAGAGGAAGTGAACAGCAGGTAGTTGTGTCTCCAGGTAGAAGCGCAACAACACCAAACATCTTATCTGATGGGAAACCGGTCTTCTTGTTTGTTTTCTTAAAGTTTGTATTTCAGAAGCTCATAAAACTTGTTTCTGCAGATATCAACGACTGCCGAGGTCAGTGTCAGAACGGAGCCACGTGCAAGGTGAGCTCACACACACACACACACACACACACACACACACACACACACACACACACACACACACACACACACGGTGTCTTCACCAGCGCTGTAGACATTAAATGCTGAGTCATGCATGTAGGACAGAGACGTGTGTGTGTTTCCATGACAACAGCAGATCGGATTTCTCCAAACTTTCTCATTTCCCAGCGGAAGATAAACACCGTGTCCTCGTTCTTTTTGAATCGCTGATTGTTCTTTTTTTTCTGCCATTCTTCCTCTCACAATGGTTCATTGTTTACTGATGGGAGGCCGATTATATTTCATCTGCGGCTTTATCTGTCAGTGTTCCTGTTCATCACACACCGATTTGTTTGATTTATGGTTCAGTGGCACAAAGTCAAAGGGAAAGCATTTTTCCGTATAGCTAAATCAAAAGTACAAACCACAATGCCTGTGGGCTGTATTCGCATTTTAAGACTCATTTATTTAAAGAAGTGCTCCTCCTGACTTTCTTATGATTGATGCTTATTTTTTGTGTGTAGCTAAAGGCTAAATAAAGAAGCTATCATCTGTTATAAGCTGTTATTTGTTGAATCACGCATTAAAGATACGGTTGGATTAAAACTGGTAACTGGATGTTGACTGTGATGAATTTCTTGCAAGCTGATATTTATCACAATGACCTCAAATCAGTGGTTGCCTGGCAGGAAGAAAATCCCTCTATTAGGACGACTTCATGCATGCTCAAATATGCACTTGAATCTCTAATTGTACCTTCTTACTAGTGTTTTTATTGCTACAGTATTTAAGGTACTAAAGAACATTTATTGACACATGCGCTATTTGATAAATGTTAAAAGTCTTTGGCGATTAGACCCCGATCCTGATATCTTATATCTTAAGGCTGCTTCTTCTTGTAAATGTTTGTTCTATACATATTTCACTCCAGCCTGTATTCTGGTATTTCCTCTACATGCCTCAGGAGAAGCAATGACACTTAACTGTAACTGGGAAATATTAATATTAATTTATAAATACTAACAGAACTTTCTGTCTCTGCCAGGACCTGGTGAACGGGTTTCAGTGTGTGTGCGCTCCGGGTTTCGGGGGTGAACGCTGTGAGACGGACGTGGACGAGTGCGCCAGCGAGCCGTGTCTCAAAGGCGGCCGTTGCCATGACGAAGTTAGCGGCTTCCACTGCCTCTGTCCACCCGGTTCCTCTGGGAGTCGCTGTCAGGTGAGCAGTTGCTAAGATACAGGGAGTTTGCCATAAATATTTTTCAGACAAAGGGTTGATCATTTTTCTTCTTCTTTTGTAACTTCTGTTCTGATTTTGAATAGCATCCATATCATAAACCATTTAAAGATACATTTAATATACATACAACTTTACAACCTGCTTAGTTGAGGGCTCATTCATTTAATGATCTTAAAAACGTTGGAATCACAAACAAAAATAAATGGATAAATGAAATTGAATGCATATAATTATGTTTGCACAGACAGTGAAATCATATCGTCTGTCTCTGTCAACGTGAGAAGTATAACTAAATGATTTATGAAAAAGAAAAATGAAATTTGCCATTAAAAAAAAAAGTCAGATTGTAATTGAAAAGTCATTGGGTAGTTTATAAGAGAAAGTGAAGTCATGTCGTTTTTAATAGTATTAAGGAAAGTCTTAAGAAAGCCATTCCATCAAAGTTTAATAAAACAATGTTCCCTGTTGCAAGTTAAATTAAGTTCTTCTTGTATTACAAAAATCATAGTTTAGTGTGCCATTCAAGAAGTCATTAAAATGCTTTAGTCAAATATGTCATACAAAAGGAATCAGAAAGGTTTTTATATTACTCTGTTGAGAAAATGATTAGAATGTATTCATCGTTATTATTTGAAGTGTTGTATACTGTAAGTGGTTTGTTGTCGTTCTGTATGAGGTCTCCATAGATGTGTGTATTGTGCAGCCGTCGTGGAAACGGTAAAACGCTGAGTGTCGTTTTTCACCTTTCTGAATTGTCCTCTCTCCACAGTTGGATATCGATTACTGCCTCCACAGTCCGTGTCAAAACGGCGGCGAGTGTTTCAACCTGGGGAGCGAGTACGTCTGTGAATGTCCCGAAGACTTCGAGGGGAAGAACTGCTCGCGGCTGAAGGACCACTGCCGCACCACGCCCTGCAAAGGTAGACACTTTACTTATTACCCACGTCCTCTGTGACTGCTAACAGCGGAGCAAAGACTCCAAGTACATTTACTCAAGTACTGCAATAAGTACAATTTTGAGGAACTTCATTTTACCGGAGTATTTTTAAGTAAACTAATGAAATACTTAAAATGTTAATATCGACCACTGCTATTATTTTATAGTATGACATTTATGGGGATTTTTTTTTAATGATCTTTTACAACAAACAATATAAATTGAATTTATATAATTTTTGATTACATATTACACTAATACTGTTTTATGGCACTAGATTCAATTAAATCATTTTAAGTAATGCTATAATATAAAGTTTATTTTACATTAGTTTGTTTTACACTAATGACATGCACACTTTTATTACTTACTAATCGTATACATACTAATTCATACTTTTTATGACTCACTTCACTTTATTTTAATCCACAGATTATTAATACAAAATATAATTATAACTAATAAACTATGATATATTATTAAATGCTATAATATAAGTTTTGTTTACATTAATGACATACTACACTTTTAATACTTACTAATTGTACTTATTAATACTTTTAATGACTTGCTACACTATCTTTTTACTCTTTTATTTACTTTAAAGGATGATATATTATTATAGGTTAAGACGGCACTTTAAAAACCAATATCTCCTCTTTTCCCTCAGTGATTGACAGCTGCACGGTTGCCGTGGCGTCCAACAGCACGCCGGGCGGGGTGCGTTTGATTTCGTCCAACGTGTGCGGGCCGCACGGTCGCTGTCGGAGTCACGCGGGCGGACAGTTCAGCTGCGCGTGTGAGGAGGGGTTCACCGGGACGTACTGCCACGAGAGTGAGTACATTCATACTCATCATGTATGGTTCTGAAGAAGACCAATAGATAACATTCATTAAAAAAAACTGCAACTTGTATATTTTTATAATGTATGTGTCGCCTATTTTTATTGTTTGTTTGTAAGTTGGTATATTACAGCGGCTTATTATTTTCTGTATTATTATTATCTTTTTAATATTATATAGTTTTTTACATTGTGTTATTTATTAAATAACAAACTCTACCGATATTTTTCTTTTTACTTTTAATATGTATTTCATTACTTTTTATTTATTATTTAATATGTATATTTTTTTTACTCATGTGCTTTGTTATAAACAATTTTCCAATTTGATATCAATAAATATCTAATTCGTTTTTCCATAATACTCTTTATTATAATTGTTTGTTCCCATTGAAGAGCTTCATTTAACTTCAGGGCTTTATCTGAATGAATAATAATAATAATGTAATGTGTCCTTCTCTGTGTGTCAGATATCAATGACTGTGAGCTCGCCCCCTGTCTGAACGGAGGGACCTGCATCGATAAAGTCAGTCAGTATCTCTGCATCTGTGCAGACGGCTGGGACGGACCCACCTGCCACAACAGTGAGTCCTCCTCCTCCTCCTCCTCCTCCTCCTCCTCCTCCTCCTCCTCCTCCTCCTCCTCCTCCTCCTCAACACACTGTGCAGTAGACGTGGGAAGTAGTGGAGTACAAATACTTCATTACTGTACTTAAGTACATTTTTCTGGTATCAGTACTTTACTCCACTACTTATTTTTCTACTTCTTACATGTTGAACACAAATACCTGTACTTTCTACTTCTTACATGTTGAACTCAAATACCTGTACTTTCTACTTCTTACATCTTGAACACAAATACCTGTACTTTCTACTTCTTACATCTTGAACTCAAATACCTGTACTTTCTACTTCTTACATGTTGAACACAAATACCTGTACTTTCTACTTCTTACATCTTGAACACAAATACCTGTACTTTCTACTTCTTACATGTTGAACTCAAATACCTGTACTTTCTACTTCTTACATGTTGAACCCAAATACCTGTACTTTCTACTTCTCACATGTTGAACACAAATACCTGTACTTTCTACTTCTTACATGTTGAACACAAATACCTGTACTTTCTACTTCTCACATGTTGAACCCAAATACCTGTACTTTCTACTTCTTACATGTTGAACACAAATACCTGTACTTTCTACTTCTTACATGTTGAACACAAACACCTGTACTTTCTACTTCTTACATGTTGAACTCAAATACTTGTACTTTCTACTTCTCTCATTTTCCAAACAGGCTGGTTCCTTTAGTCTGAATGTGTGTTTGGTGGCGTGATCATTATTATTTAGAGTCATTGCGTGCCTATTGATTTGAACACGATCCGTGTATTCATCATTTCCTGGTCTTCTCTAAAGAAGAGGGACCAATGGAAACGTTGTCATGTTGCCGTTGGTCGGCATGGAAACATTCATTAGCTAACAATTACATTATTGTTATATTAATATAAAGGGAGGTCAGGTACTCTTTAAAACAGCTGGGAGTTATGGGTACTTTTTACTTAAGTACATTTCAAAGCCCATACTTCTTTACTTTGACTTGAGTAAAGAAGTTTAGTCAGTACTTCTACTTTTATCAGAGTATTTTTAAACACAAGTATCTGTACTTCCAAGGATGTGTGTGCTTTTGCCATCTCTGCCGTGCAGCGGACATGTTGGACGTGCTCTCATGTTTTCTTTTCTTGTCGTTCAGATATTGACGACTGCAGCTCGGCTCCGTGTCAGAACCGCGGCGTCTGTCGAGATCGGGTCAACGATTTCTTCTGCCAGTGTAACAATGGCTGGAAGGGGAAGACCTGCCACTCACGTGAGGATTTATGTGTTTTCTCATCACTTTCTGGCTTCTGGTTTGACTTGTATGGACACAAAATGGCAATCGGCTGCATTTACAGTAGATAGCACATTTATCCAAATTGCTTTACAATTTCACTCCAATTTAAACAAGTTGCTGGCCTTATCATCCAAAGCGATTTGGGGTTCAAGTTCACAACTCTTAATTATTATTATATATTATTATATTTTTTACTGCAGTGAGAGAAAATGTTGTTCTTTGTATGATGACAATACAGATATATTCTACACAAGTAAAACATACATTGTACTACAGTTCAAGTGATCCAGTTCCAAAATAGTTTTAACCCATTGTTTGATAATAGTTTTTTTTATTTCATGCACCTTTTATACTTCCATTCCACTACATCTCAAATCAAAAACACTACATTTGTCTGACGGCTTTGGTTACTTTTCAGATTATATATATTTTCAATCCCTTTCTGTGACTCACTGATGTCTTTTTTCATTTCCAGGAGTGAGTCAGTGTGACGAGGAGACGTGTAACCACGGAGGAACCTGCTACGATGAAGGAGATGCCTTCAAGTGTCATTGTGCTGCCGGCTGGGAGGGCGCGACCTGTAGCATCGGTGAGCATGACGCCATGTTTTAAACTTTTTAAAGGTCGCCTATTATGCCAAATCTACTTCTTCATGTCTCTTCTACATCAACATGTGTCCCCTCTTCCTCATGTCTCTTCTACATCAGCATGTGTCCCCTCTTCTTCATGTCTCTTCTACATCAACATGTGTCCCCTCTTCTTCATGTCTCTTCTACATCAACATGTGTCCCCTCTGTGGAAAGAGACTCTGAAAGTTTCAGGAACAAATATTCTCTCTCTTTTTGATCCATTTCTATAAAAACCTGTCTGAAAATGAGCTGATCAGATTTTGGCCACTTTATGATGTCATAACGATTTTTTGTCTTGTGTAACCATTAGCCAATCAGCAACCAAGGTAACCCCCCCCCCCACCTTATCACCTGAATCTCCTCCTAGAGCACCATTGTGTTCTTTGTAACCAAATCTCTCTCAGAGGGGCGTGGGGAGGGGCTCCTTATTTTCATCTAAAGTAACAGACAGAGAATCAGCACTTTGGAAACAGGGCTGAAACAGAGGGGATTATGGGATGCTGCAATCATCAGTTTGGTGTTTCAGCCAATCAGAGACAGGTTCTGTATATATCTGAGACCTATAATATATTGATGAAAAACAGTAGAATAGGAGACCTTTAAAATATAATACACCGTAGTTTGCCATATATACTAATTGTCCTTAGTGTTTTTTATTGTTTAGCTTTTAGTGTTATTTGTATAGTCACAGTTCAATTTGGTGTAAATACTTGTCTTTAGCATCCTTTCTGAATGCTAAATTGCTTCTTAAAAATACTTGTTTTTTTATTATCCCTATATATTTATTTTTTTACCTACTTTTGCAACTTGTTTTTTTCGATTGTTCATGTTCGCACCATCAGATACCAAAGCAAATTCCTTGTACTGTATGTGTAAACGTACCTGGCAATAAACTTGATTGTGTCTCCAGCGAAGAACAGCAGCTGTGTGTTGAGTCCCTGTGAGAACGGAGGAACCTGCGTGGTGGACGGAGACTCGTTCAGCTGCGTCTGCAAGGAAGGCTGGGAGGGCGCCACCTGCAGCCAGAGTGAGTCACTGCACCCGCATGTTCACACATTATGCATTAACAAGTCCCATCTGCACTATTAATTTAACATTTCAAAGGTACACCATCTGTCCCAAGACATGTATTCATCAGTTGTGACAGGAGATGCATTATCTTGTATTGACATCGTACACTTTTGTCCAATAAAACGATGCTAATGCACTCACGTTTAGCAAGTCCTAGCCACAATTAGCATGTAACAAATGGTAGTTTCTTAACATGATTATTTTATACATTTTGAAATGGCCTATGTGTACAAAGATACACTAAGAAAACCACTAAATATTCGGACAGCGACATTTGTTAGTAGTTAAATGCATATTTGGTGCTATGCTGTAAGTCACTTTTAGTATGACAATGCATTATATGCACCCAGTCCAATCTGCATTATTAATTTAACATTTTAAAGGTAAACCATCTGTCCCAAGACATGTATTCATCAGTTGTGACAGGAGATGCAGTGTTAAAAATGTGAAGCACCTCTGTTCAATAAAACTATGCTAATGCGCTCACGTTTAGCATGTCCGAGCCACATTTCAAGATTCAAGGCTTTTATTGTCCTTTATACATAGCTACAGTGTACTTATGTCAATGAAAATCTTAGGTCCAACAGTGCAACCCAATAAAAAAGATAAAATAGTGCAAGTAAATACAAATAATATAGAATAGATGTTAAAGGTCCCATGTCATGCTTTTCCGGTTATTACCCGTCCCCTTGTGTGTTATGAAGGTTTTTCTGCATGTAAACGGTGTGCAGAGTCAAAACCCTCAAAGTACACCCTGTAGCGAGTAAAACTCTAACACAGAAAATACCTCCCCAAAACGCCTCGTTGGAGAGGCTATTGGAGCTACAACGAGCCGTTAAAGGCAGAGAGTGAAATTCAGTGAATACACGTAATTTACAGAGATGCTGTATGAGGAACCAAAGTGAGTTTGGAAAATTGCACAATATAAATCTATTCTAGTAGACCTCAACAATGGAATTATGATCAGTGGAAATGGCCACGACATGGGACCTTTAACATTGTTACATAGCATTTAGCATAACAATGGTAGTTTGTTAACATGCTTATTTCATACATTTTAAAATGGCCTATGTGTAGAAGATACGCTAAGAAAACCACTAAATATTTGGACAGCGACACTTGTTAGTGGTTAAATGCATATTTGGTTCTATGCTGTAAGTTGCTTTTACTATGTCAACAGCTAACGGTATGATAGATGTCTAACGCAACATTTTCTGTCTTTATTTTCCAGACGCCAACAACTGCAGTCCTCATCCCTGGTGAGTTCACACACACACACACACACACACACACACACACACACACACACACACACACACACACACACACACACACACACACATACATATATATATGAATATAAAATGTAGATGCACACTAAATAAACCATTATTTAAGGCATAGCTAAGTGTACCGGTCAGGGTCTAATGTTTATATCTGCTTTCGTTTTGTAACATAATTATCCTTCAAGTAAATCAAATCTGGAAAAAGACATCTCAATGCCAGCAAGAGTTGTTATTTGCTCTGTGTCTTGGAGAGAAAATAGTCACTGTGTCCCAAATTGCTCGTATCTAAAAAAAAATAATGATATATTATTGGTACGAGGGCTCCAGCTCAGTCAAGTCAGGGTTATTGACTTGTAGTTTAGTTTTTGTTTCCAGAAACTGAGGATTTCAGAGAGTACACGCTACAGATGATTTCTTCTTGTTATTGCACACAGTGTATCTGATCATCCTCTCTGTGCTGCAGCTACAACAGTGGCACCTGTGTGGATGGAGACAACTGGTATCGATGTGAATGTTCTCCGGGTTTCGCCGGTCCAGACTGCAGAATCAGTGAGTTGACCTTTGACCTTTCCTCCATCTCTTCATTCAGCTTATTCAACAATAACATATAATAATCAGACACACACTGATTTATTTCATGCTGTAGTTTTGTTGGATCTTGTCATCTTCAGAGACTTTCCTCTCTGATAGCTTTGTGAAGTTCTCAGCCTCGCTGTGTTACAAAAGACAGAGAAACGCCACTGTTATTGATTTCAGTTGACAAAAATACTAAGTGTCACTCGTCTCTTTTCAGACATCAATGAGTGCCAGTCGTCGCCCTGCTCCTTCGGCTCCACATGTGTGGATGAAATCAACGCTTTCCGCTGCATCTGTCCTCCAGGAAGAGCTGGCCCCCGCTGCCAAGAAGGTAAAACCTGCAGACAGTGAACTTTATACAGTTTGTATCCTGTTACAACAGGTCTTAGACATGATCTTCACATGTTTAGTTTATTGGTTTATAGTGTCGTGGACAGTCCCCATTGATCAACTGTCACACAAAACAGTAGATGGGGCAGCTTTAGCCAACATTGCTAATGTCTAGCTGTTGTCCCCGGCCAGATGATAATGGACAGCTTTTAAAAATCACAATACATCAACAGCATTAGTTATAAAGAAAGGATGAAAGACAAGTAGATACAGACGAAAGGATAAAAGAGAACAATAAAATGTATGTGCAGATAGTTTACAGCAGCCAATATACTGTGTTTACCAAGAGCCTAACATCACTTTCAATTTAAGAAAATCTACCTATCGGATATCTGTTAAACCAATTCACCAGACTTAATCAATCCAATCATATTATGTTCAGTGAAATGGCCGAGTTGTCAGGATATCTTTGCACTGAATTGTTGTTGTTGATCACTCTGAGTATATATTAACGGTGTGTTTGTGCTGCAGCGTCGGGGCGGCCCTGTGTGGTGGGGGGGGGGCAGCTGGCTCTGGACGGCAGCCGGTGGGACGACGACTGCAACATCTGCAGCTGCCACAACGGGAGGACCACCTGCACCAAGGTACACCTGCTGTTTGACATCATTCTGATGGTTTATGGCACTACACTGTACTTCTTTTGACATTCTTAAAAACATTTTGTATTTACGATTTGACACATTGTATTATAGATTTTCTTTTGTTAACACAATATTGTATTTAAGAAGTTGTTCATGTATTTTATGTGAAGATTTATTCGCGAAATAAATCTTAATTGTAAGATAATTGTAGAACAGATCTAAAAAGTGTGACATTTCCGTTCTTCAAATTAAAACTAGCAGGAACAAAAGCTAAACATAAATACCTACCAAATAGTTCATATTAAACAAATAAGCAGACCCTCCTGTTTCAACTGCACCTTGGCAACAAATATATATTTCTGTATGTTGCTCTTAAAAAGTATTCTGCTTGTTCAAAGCTGTACTTCAAGGACCTTTGCTATTTTTAGTTGGTGTCATCATGGTTGATTGCAAGTGCGGCCCTACATGTAATATATTGAACATTCAGTGAGTGTAACCCCTCTCCCCCCCCTCAGTTTCAGTGCGGCCCTACATGTAATATATTGAACATTCAGTGAGTGTAACCTCTCTCCCCCCCCTCAGTTTCAGTGCGGCCCTACATGTAATATATTGAACATTCAGTGAGTGTAACCCCTCTCCCCCCCTCAGTTTCAGTGCGGCCCTACATGTAATATATTGAACATTCAGTGAGTGTAACCCCTCTCCCCCCCCTCAGTTTCAGTGCGGCCCTACATGTAATATATTGAACATTTAGTGAGTGTAACCCCTCTCCCCCCCCTCAGTTTCAGTGCGGCCCTACATGTAATATATTGAACAGTCAATGAGTGTAACCCCTCTCCCCCCCCCTCAGTTTCAGTGCGGCCCTACATGTAATATATTGAACATTTAGTGAGTGTAACCCCTCTCCCCCCTCCTCAGTTTCAGTGCGGCCCTACATGTAATATATTGAACATTCAGTGAGTGTAACCCCTCTCCCCCCCCTCAGCTTCAGTGCGGCCCTACATGTAATATATTGAACATTCAGTGAGTGTAACCCCTCTCCCCCCTCTCAGTTTCAGTGCGGCCCTACATGTAATATATTGAACATTCAGTGAGTGTAACCCCTCTCCCCCTCCTCAGTTTCAGTGCGGCCCTACATGTAATATATATTGAACATTCAGTGAGTGTAACCCCTCTCCCCCCCTCAGTTTCAGTGCGGCCCTACATGTAATATATATTGAACATTCAGTGAGTGTAACCCCTCTCCCCCTCCTCAGTTTCAGTGCGGCCCTACATGTAATATATTGAACATTCAGTGAGTGTAACCCCTCTTTCCCCCCTCAGTTTCAGTGCGGCCCTACATGTAATATATTGAACATTTAGAGAGTGTAACCTCTCTCCCCCTCCTCAGTTTCAGTGCGGCCCTACATGTAATATATTGAACATTCAGTGAGTGTAACCCCTCTTTCCCCCCTCAGTTTCAGTGCGGCCCTACATGTAATATATTGAACATTTAGAGAGTGTAACCTCTCTCCCCCTCCTCAGTTTCAGTGCGGCCCTCGCCCCTGCAGTCTCCTCTCTCAGCCTCCAGGCTCTGAGTGTCCGGAGGCTCAGACCTGCGAGGCGCTGCAGGACGAGCACTGCTTCGTGAAGCCGTGCCCGGGGCAGGGAGAGTGCTGGAGCCCCGCCCACCAGGCCCCGCCCAATGACAGCTGTGACTCAGAGAGCGGCTGTGCCAACCTCACCTTCACCTTCAACAAGGACGTCATGGCAACGGTCAGTTTCCTACTTCCTGTTTCCTACTTCCACCTTTTTTATAATCCTCTGTCAAACTTTTCTTACTGGCGAGTGCTATTCATCAGGCTTTTAAAACATTGTATTAACATTCTATTTGTATTTGATTAAGAGTGGTGGAATGTAACTAAATAGTTTACTGTCGTACACATTTGGGGTACTTCTACGTTACTTACTTTGAGTAAGTTTACATTTGAGGTACTTGTACGTTCCTTACTTTGATTAAGTCTACATTTGAGGTACTTGTACGTTCCTTGTATGTGAACTTTTTGGGTACTTTAACTTTTTTTATTCCACGTAAGTACACATTTAAGGTACTTGTACTTTACTTACACTACTTAAGGACATATTTGAGGTCATTTTACATAATGTTCTTAAATACACTTTTGAGGTACTTATACAGTACTTTACTTACTTTGCTTAAGGACATATTTGAGGTCATTTTACTTCACTTCCTGTACTGAAGTACAGATGTGAGCTACTTGTACTTAACTTTATATACTAAGGTACGTGTGAGGTACTTTTACTTTGCCTACTGTAGCTGATTTGAGGTACTTGTACTTCACTTATTATGCTATACAGTATGTGTATCCTTGGGTAATATTTTAGTTTCCATATCTTTGTAGTGTTTCTGTATATATTTACTCTGTATTTTCTACCCTGTGGAATTCATTGATAACCTGCTGGTGCTAAAACTTCCCAAAATGTGTTCATTAAAGTACATTTATCTATTGTACAGGGTGTGACGGTGGAGCAGGTTTGTCGTGAGCTCAGGAGCCTCTATGTCGAGAAGAACCTCTCCTCCTCCTCTTCCTCTTCCTCTTCCTCCATCTCCATGACCTGCGAGCCGTCGCTCAGCACCAACAACGAAATCCACGTTGCCATCGTGAGTTACATGTGGCCTTAAAGTCATTTTTAGTCGTTGAAAGTTCAGAACAAACCCCCCTCAAAAACAATGTTAAGCCGTCATGAGATGATGAGTTGTGGTTGAAATGTATCCTTATTTCCTTTATATCACATTAAAATGTTCCCAACGTCTGGAATTATAAAATGGAAAAGAGACAGGAATGTTGAGATAAAAGCAGCAACACTGCATCCAAAATGCCAGAAAATGTTCTCTTAGAGATGGAAAAGCTTTTTGACTTATTGTGCAGCAGGAATCTTTGATTAGGGGAAACCATCATGAGCATTTAGTTAGACTCGAGTGTCACAGATAAGCAGACCATAATGGAGTTTCTCTGTTGGTTATTCCAGTCGACGGAGGACCAGAGGAGAGGTCTGACCTTCGTCAAGGAAATCACAGACAGGATCATGGATCTGGTGAGCAAGAGGAGCGCCAACAGCAGCATCATCAGCGCCATCGCAGAGGTCCGGGTCCAGAGGCGGCAGAACCACAACCCCAATGGTGAGACTCAGTGGAAAACACATTGGTGCTTTAAAGTCTTAGCGTTCATTCTTGTTCTTGGGAATCGTTTTTGGACAAAATAAGCAAAATAATGGGGATGTAGATATTTAATTGCTCTTTTTACCGCACTGTTGGTGACGTACAATTTTACTATTATGCTGCTGTGTTTATTGTGTTTTTGTAACTCTGGCACAATTCTTCGGGATAAATAAAATCTGATCTCTTATCTTATCTGATGAGGAGAATAAGGCATCTTTTTTGACACCCAAGACAGTTCTTGAGCAGTTTTGTCCACACTGAGGCCATTTGAGGACCATAAAGTTATTTACTGAGTAATCTCAATCTGCTCAAATCACGGTTATAACTCTAGGTCCGATTCCTATATTTGACCAGGGATAAGATAATGTTTCTGCTTGTCTTTGGTCTTTGAGGAAATGGAGGATTTTAGTTCCTGTTTTTACTTAAATAAAAAAGGATAACCCTAACTGCATATTGCCACGTTCTCTACCGTCAGCCGACTACAGGACAAAGGATATTGTATATCCTCCATGTCGCCCAGCCCTATTTTACGTTTAGTCCAGCGTAATACCGATTTTAAAATAATGTGTACAGTTTTAGTTGAACTTCAATAAAGTGGCTTGTGTTGTTCTGACATTTTTGCAGTTTGACAGCTCATAACAATTAAACATTTCCAAAAGGTCTGACTGTCCTTTACATATAGGCTGGGTAATATGTCTAACTAAATAGATTTCGTAATATGAGATCATCTTAGATTTTGGATATTGTGGTATTATGATATGGTTTCAATTTCAGATTTTAAAGTCTGTATTACAGTTAATTTGTGTCATTTTATCATTTATATTATTTGTCTTTCAACCAAGTACCTCCATATTGATACTGACTTACCACCAGTAAGTCAGTATCAATATGGAGGTACTTGGTCGAAAAACTTGTGATATTGTATATCCTCCATATGTCTCAGCCCTAAAACTAGTTTAACACTTTAGTCTGAGGTCATAGATACAGATTATAAATATTACAGATCAGATTACAGATTCTTAACCAATGTGTACAGATAGAGAAGTCATTTAATAGTGTTCTCAGTTGTCCTGACATCTGTTCTTCCATCCAGCAGACCACATCGTGCCTCTTCTGATATCCGCGGTGGTCTTCATCTGGGCGCTGGCCGTCATCTCCATGTTGCTGTGGTGTGTGAGGAGGCGGAGGAAACGGAGCGCTCACACCGGGGTCAACACACAGGTGGCATCATCATCAACATCATCAGCTTTAGCCCCGGCAACCGAGGACAACAACGCCCTCCACAACAGCGTCAGCACCCCCCGCGAGCAGCTCAACCACATCAAGAACCCCATCGAGAAAAACGCCCCCAACCTCCAGCACCACCACATCTGCGAGGACAAGAACGCGGTCAACGCCAAGATCAGGAAGTCGGACGACGGGGGCCAATCAGACGAGGAGGAGATGGATAAGAGGCTTCAGAAGGCGAGGTTTGCCAGAGCCCCGCCGGCATATTCGCTGGTGGACTGGGAGGAGCGACCCCCCCCATCATCTGACAGGCAAACACTGGACAAACAAACAGGACAACAGGCAACTTCAGTCACAGAGTGTAAACAGGACGGAGTATATTGTATAACCATCGGGGCTCAAAATGACTGGACAATCCTTCGAGATGAAACCGCCCAAAACGGGGAAAAACGTTATCTTTTGTTAATTTTGTATGTTATTTTTTCTTCAGGACTGATGGATTTAATTTATGACGCGGATCTGGACGGTCCACCGCTGGATCTCTGATACTGCGGACACTTTTCGTTAAATTTGGACGTGGATGAGCGGTTTTGTTTTTGGGTTCAATAATGAGTTTTGTAGTTTGAATGTGCTGCAGCAAAGTTGGAAAATATTTATTTAGTTGTTTGCGCGACCAATTTTGAGTCATTATGAAGAATCGTCCGTGTAGAATGTTTCTGTAAAGATGTGTAAATATTTTTTTTTTTATTACTCAATGTGTATATTTGGATTTATTAACTTAATCATCAAGAGCCTTTTTTTTTTATTATTTATGAGTTGAAGCTTTGTAAGCTCACGATTTCTTGATGGAAATGTTTTTTTTTAATATAATTTTAACGCCAAAAGTGTTCTTGGAAAAATAGTTTATTTTTAGCCTTTTGGATTTGGGCATTTTTGTGCCTCAATTAAATGTTTTGTACATTGTCTGTGAGGCCGTTTTGTTGGTATGTTTGCCAGAATGTTATGTTGTAAGCACTCTACACGTACATGGAGAGGAAGGGGGGTAATTGATTCATGGTTAGACAGATTTTGCTGCTGCAGGATCCTTTTATACAAACCAACATGGTGGCCCATATACTGCTTTTGCTACTGAAATTACATTCTCTGAGGGACGCAACTTTTTTTTGCAATTATTTGTACAGTGTAAAAAAAAAAAGAGTTGAGCACAGGCTTTCTGTTTCCATGTTTGTAACAATCTGAATGAGCCCTGTAGAATTTACATCCAGTGTGAACATTGTGTGGAAACTCGAGGTCTGAAACGTCACAGGAAACCATTTTAGGAAGTACTGAAAGAGTTTAACACTTTTTGTGAAATGTTGCCTGTTGTTGATTGGAGGAAAAAGTAAGGCTGTGAATAAGAGTTTGTGTACAGTCGTCAGCCTCTTCTAGTTCTTGATGGAGGAACAAATAAAACGTGTTTTTCTCATACATTTTGCTTCTGTGTTTTTTGGACCTTGAGAAATAAAGTATCTGCTGTTTTTACCTGTAACCGTGAACTTCGTAAAGAACTAATAACTGTGGTCCACCCGATCTGTTACTTTGAATAGAAACAATAATATTTATTTACCTAAAGCTAATGTTCACTCTTAAATACATTTACATTCAGGTCCATATCAGTATGTATTGTCTCTACTGTGACATGTCTCCATGCTTTAATGTTCAAAAATCCCTTTATGTCTCTCATCCTGCCTGTGCTGCAGCACCTCTTTTCACCCTCTGTCTGAAACCAGAACCTAGTCTGCCCTGATTGGTTAGCTGGCCGGCTCTGTTGTGATTGGTCAACCGCTTAGAGATGTCCCGCCCCTTAGCCTATCATGTACAATGTATTCGAGCGCTAGCCAATAGAAGTGTGAGTGTTACATGGTGATGTCATTATGTTCTGGAAGTAAACAAAGACAACAGGAAAAGGCAAAAAGCAGAATAAGAGCCCTTTAAACATTTTTATAAATGTTATTATATAATATTATCACAAAAAACAAAGTGATTCCAGGAGACATTAAAAGGTGATGCACAATGCTGGGACAATAGTTATGTCTCCCTTTACTTCAAAATGTTTGATCTACCACAGCTTCATCTTTCATCTCAATCTTAATCCTATTTATCTCACTGAATGCTGCCTGATTGAAGACACATAAGAAAGCAAATAAAAATGTTTCCAAAGTAGAATCTGTTTGAAACAATGCTGATTTAATAAGCATATTTGATAGTGGGTTAAGATTTGATAATGGGTTATTTACCATAACGTTAATCAAAAGAAAAGAGTTTCATCCATTATCTCGTGCTTTTGTTTGTTGCTCTCTTCACCCAGACGGACATCTTGCATCATGAAGGCGTTTAACGGAGGTGGATAACAGAATTCCTTTTGTTTCTTCCATCCTCCATGGTCTATATCTCCATCCCACACTGTCCTCTGCAGACATGTGAGAGCGTTTATAAAAGACCCCTACAACCCACTATTCCTCACAGATAAACAACATTTGAACATTTTGAATAAATGCTTTTTCCTGCCGTAATTTCTGCCCCGATAATCAAACTTTCATCCTGACAAGCAGTGCGCGGGGAACCACAATCCCTGCTCCTCCAAACGGCTCCAGTGTGGTGGCTCGAGAGGGGAAAGGCTGTGTTTATGTGCATTCTTCCGCAGTGATTTTCAAACGGTGGCTGAGGGGAATCCAAATCTCCTGCTGATAAGCAAAGAAAGTCTCTGTCAGTGGATAAGAGTGGGGTTTTATGTGGCCGATCATTTGGATTGCTTTGTGGCGGTGTGTGTTTTCACGATCTGGGCTACTACATGATGCCAATCTCTCCCCCTCCCTGTGTGTAAAATCCCCTCCGCTCTCTCTGCCATTATGGTCCAGACCACAACTTCCACTCTCAGACTGTCTCTGTCTTTCTGTTTATTTGAGAACAACACAAATCTAATTTTAAGAAGAAATACTTCACTTAATTAGGTTTTTCCATTCAACCCTTCCTATATCCATTCATCCCTATATCCCTGCATCCCTTCAACCTTCACCCATTCATCCCTTCCTACATCCACACATCATCGAATCCAGCTGTGCCCACACTTCTTCAGCTTGGGAGCTACTTTTAAAATGACCAAGCCCAAATGATCTACCTACAGGGCCGCCCCTGCCCAATCTGTGTTGCGAGCGGAGGGGGGAGGTGCTAGTGGACTAAACGGCGGATAAACTGTGGCTAATTACACTAATTGCGCCGCTTAAAAGCATAATAGTGCGCCGCATTTGGCTTCAGATGAGGAGGTGAGGCCCCCTCATAACTGCATGAACCCGTATGGCACAATACAACTCTGGCTTACCTGTACGTCATCAAGTGGCAAATGCCATAGTAAGGATGGATGATAGGCTAACTTTAAAAAATAAAAATCTTTTTTTTCTTTTCTTCTTTTTTTTCCAATGCCATGCGATCTACCCACACCACCTTTGCGATCGACGTATTGGGCACCCCTCCCTTCATCCCTCCTTATCTCCCTTCAGCCCTCCTTATCTCCCTTCAGCCCTCCTCCATATCTTCCTTTACCCATCCCTACGTACCTTCATCCCTCCCTGTATCCCTGTATCCATTCATCCATTCCTACATTCATTCCTCCATACATAACCTAATCGCTCCCCACATCCCTTCAACCTTCCCTCCCTTCTTTCGGTCTCCCCTTACCTCTTTATTTTTGTTTTATGTTGTTGCTGTGTGGTCCTTGCTAGCGAACCTAAAGTATTTACACGTTTAACATATTTGCATTTCTGAATGGACCCTTTTTGATTTTACATTTAGCCAGTTAAATTAAAATTATTTTTGGTCTGCTTAGGTGTTTTCTGACAATCTTTAAGGGTCACAGTTTTTATATTTTGAATCTGTTTTTCTTTTTTCCAGGCAGCTGGTTTCTCTTTATTAAACTGGCAAACTGGAAACATATTCCAGATAGATCATTCGTCTCAGTTATTATTCAATTAGTAATTATAACACAGTGATAATGAAGTCTGCATTGAATCACATCTCACGAATAATACCCTTTAATGAAAAAGGTCTTTCCACATTTAGTTTTACTTTGTGGTTGCTAATTTCTCATATCTTTGTGGTTTCCATTTCATTTAACTCGATGAATAAACTGAACCTCGAAACTTGATCCAAAACAGAACTTGTTATACGACCTAAGTCTTCATTACACCCCAAATTATGAAAGTGTTTGACAGACAAACAACAGACCTAAAGAGGGTGAAGCTGATTCTAGAGGTTTGACAGTAGTAGAGGAAAGGTCAGGCATCCCCAAAATAATCCCAACGTCTCCTTTCTCAGGCCCTGCCACTAAAAGGATGAAAAACAAACCCCTTTTTTTGCAAATCACAGTTATTTATTGTGTAATTAAGTACATGCAAATGAAAAAATGCAAATTGGAAGACACATCTGAAATCATCAATAATGTAAAACACATGTTATTTGTAGTTAATGAGCTGAACATGGCAACATCGCTGATTTAATACAGAATCTGGCACAAAACGCCTAGTTGTTGGTGTGCATCCATATATCCATTATGATTAAAATGCTGCTGTCTTTACAACACACACACACACACACACACACACACACACACACACACACACACACACGTATACATCACTTCAGGGGACATTACATTGACTTACATGCATTTCCTGGAGACTTATCCTAACCATAACCAACACATGCCTAACCCTAAACCTAACCAAGTCTTCACCCTACAATGAATGATTCCCCTCATGGGGACCTCCATTTTGTCCCCATAAGGGAGGTGAGACCCCACACGTGACTGTGTAAACAGATGTAGGTCCCCACAAGTAACACACACACACACACACACACACACACACACACACACACACACACACACACACACACACACACACACACACACACACACACACACACACACACACACACACACACACACACACACACACACACACACACACACACACACACACACACACACACACACACACACACACACACACACACACACACACACACACACACACACACACACACACACACACACACACACACACACACACACACACACACACACAGTTTCTCCCTGTGTGTGTGCTTTGGTTCCAGTCAGCTCCACAGTCACCCATCTCAGTTCAGCGTCCCTTTGTTTTTTTTGGTGTTTTTAATGCTCAGAGTCATGAAATCTGAACCTCTTTCTTCAAAGCTGCTGGCAAAGCAGAGCTAACGTGATCGTTAGGATCACCAACGCCTGGCCGCCTCCACAACGCTCCACTAATCCATCTGAGAAACCCGAGTCTGCCATTATGTCAAAAGCACAGAGGGGAAGGGGAGCTGCCAGACGCTTTAGTTCAACGAAGACGTTAAAGTTTGGAGAACAGTTTTGATGCTACAAGCCTCCGTGGAGCAAGGCATTAGCACTGCCAAAGGGGTTGGGGGTTCAATGCCTGCTGTGACCAAATGCTAATACTGTGAACAGATGTGGAGCTGTGAGCTTTTCAACCCTGAGAGAATCGATTCAAAGTTCAACTCCAGTTGTTATGGATGTTGTAATTTAAGAACTCAGTGTTTTCACAAATTGCTCTGGAAGGGGTGTGGTTGGAGTGTGTGTGTGTGTGTGTGTGTGTGTGTGTGTGTGTGTGTGTATGTGTGTGTGTGTGTGTGTGTGTGTGTGTGTGTGTGTGTGTGTGTGTGTGTGTGTGTGTGTGTGTGTGTGTGTGTGTGTGTGTGACTCAGCTGTGCAGAAACAGTTGTGGGAACTGCAGGAGTCTGGAGACAGCGAGGAGAAAAGGGGAGTGACGTCAACTCTCTCTGGCTGAACACAGAGGAGAAAATGAAACAACATTCAGAATCCCATCATGATTCCTGACATGTTTTATTGTCGCCTTCTTGTTATCTTTGCTTTGTTTCTGTCCACTGTGTTCTCTTCAAAAGATCCAACATCTTGACTCAATTTCTCACAATCGTATCTGCAAACAGAGAGAGGGAAAAAAGAAAAAACTTGAACAAAGAAGCTCGTTCTCAAAGGGAAAACCTCCCACACTGCATAAACAGGCAGAACTTCCCCTAAACACCTATTTCTTCTAAATGCAGTATTAGTTTAGTTAAATGTCAATATTTTGGTAAAAATCTATTCTCAAAAGTAAGTGTCAGAATGTGTCTGCTTACATTTGCGCACGTTTTAGGGGTTTCCCTTTCCTGTAGTGTGTGCTATAGGTTTGTGTGCATGTAAATGGTCTGCAAAGGCTCCAATCCCTGTGTTCCCTCCAGAGGAAGTTTCTCTCCCACACACTTCCCCCCCCCCCCCCCCCCCCCCACCTGTCTGAAATGCCTCCATTGGACTCCTTTGTTCACTTCTGTAACATAATGACATCACGATGGAACACTTGGGATTCTATTGGCTAGTGCTTGAACACATGTGGCTT